TGGGCGCCTCGCGCTTCCTGCTGCCCGTCTCGCAGTGCGAGTTCCAGCTGACCCAGATCCTCGAGCAGCTGCAAAAGGACCCCTGGCCGGTGGCCAACGACAAGCGAAGCCAGCGGTGCACGGGCGTCGCGCTCGGCGTCGCCGTCGGCATGCTTGAGACGACCTTCCCCAACACGGGCGCCCGCATCATGCTCTTCTGCGGTGGCCCGCCCACCGAGGGCCCCGGCATGGTCGTCTCGACCGAGCTGCGCGAGCGTATCCGCTCCCACCACGACATTGACAAAGACACGGCCAAGTACTACAAGCGCGCCATCAAGTTCTACGACGCCATGGCCAAGCGCGCCGCCGGCAACGGCCACACGATCGATGTCTTTGCCGGCTGCCTCGACCAGGTCGGCCTGCTCGAGATGAAGGGCCTCAGCAACCTCACGAATGGCCACATGATCTTGGCCGACTCGTTCCAGATGGGCATCTTCAAGCAGAGCTTCAACCGCATCTTTACCAAGGACGACCAGGGGCACCTGCAGATGGGCTTCAACGCCACGCTCGACGTGCAGTGCACCAAGGAGCTCAAGGTGTCGGGCCTCATTGGCCACGCCGTGTCGGCCAACAAGAAGTCGGGCTGCGTCGGCGAGACCGAGATCGGCATCGGCCAGACGTCGGCGTGGAAGATGTGCTCGCTGACGCCCAAGACGTCGGCGGGCATCTACTTTGAGGTGGTGACGCCGCCGGGGCAGCCGCTGCAGCCGGGCTCGCGCGGCCTGATCCAGTTTGTGACGCACTACCAGCACGCGTCGGGCCAGTACCGGCTGCGGGTGACGACCATCGCGCGCAACTTTGCCGAGGGCGGCTCGCAGCAGATTGCCGCCTCGTTCGACCAGGAGGCGGCGGCGGTGCTGATGGCGAGGATCGCCGTCTTCAAGGCCGAGATCGACGACAGCCCGGACGTGCTGCGCTGGCTCGACCGGATGCTGATCCGCCTCTGCCAGAAGTTTGCCGACTACCGCAAGGACGACCCCACCAGCTTCCGGCTGGGCGAAAACTTCAGCATCTACCCGCAGTTCATGTTCCACCTCCGACGCAGCCAGTTCCTCCAGGTCTTCAACAACTCGCCCGACGAGACGGCCTTCTACCGCCACGTGCTCAACAGCGAGGACGTCAACAACTCGCTCATCATGATCCAGCCGACGCTCATGTCGTACGGCTTCGACGCGCCGCCGCAGCCCGTGCTGCTCGACTCGGTGTCGATCCGGCCGGACGTGGTGCTGCTGCTCGACACCTTCTTCCACATCCTCATCTTCCACGGCGAGACGGTGGCCCAGTGGCGCAAGGCGGGCTACCAGGATCAGGAGGGCTACGAAAACTTCAAGGAGATCCTCGAGAACCCCAAGGCCGACGCCCAGGACCTGCTGGCCGACCGCTTCCCCATCCCGCGCTACATTGTGTGCGACCAGAATGGCTCGCAGGCGCGCTTCCTCCTCTCCAAGCTCAACCCGTCGACGACGCACATGTCGGGCGGCGTCTACGGCGCGGGCGCCAACGGTGCGGCCATCTTTACCGACGACGTCAGCCTGCAGGTGTTTATGGAGCACCTCAAGCGTCTCGCCGTCGGTGCCAGCAGCAGCTAGGCGTGCAGTCGCAGCGTTGTGTGCGTACATCGCTGTTGTTGCCGTCGCGACACCCTCTTCCGATTTCCCTCGTCCTCCCTCCCCCAACCCCATCCACCTCTGCCTTCGCCAAAGAATACGCTGATTCCCCCCCTTCTCCGATTGGTCTGGTCCTGTGCCCAAGTGTGACAAAAGTGCCATGCCCCGCGCGCCGAGGCTGTGCGAGCCGATGAAGGGACCGAGATCGAGCCTCTGCGATGAATGGTGTGCGTGAGTGACGAGAAAAGCACGGCCGACGTGCTGGGATGTTTTGTGATCGTATCGTACAAGGCGAGGGCGAAGGAGGGTAGCGCGCGAGCGACGGAGAAAGTGAGATGCGATCGTCTGCTTCGGTCTATGGTGGTGACTTTGGATCGAGATGGGTGGGTGGGAGCGGGTCTATCGGCTGACCTGCTTGTCGAGAAGGTCCTTTGCCTCGTTGATCTCTGCCGAGCCGTCGTTCAAGGACAGGGAAAGCGAAGAGGACTGATTGAGTTTCGCGTCAAGGCGGAGGAGCGAGGGAGGGGGAGGCTCTGGGTGGGATCACTCACTGCTGGCGAGGTAGGGAGATCCGCCTCGATCCGGGTGGTTGGCGATCATCATTCTTCGGTGCGCCTCCTTGACCTTGGCCTTGGTCAGTGCAGTCTCCCTGGTCGAGGCGGGACCGGATGATTGGAGGAGACAGAAAGCGGAGGAGCACGCGTGGGTAGACGAGTAAGAGTCAGCCCTGCCTGCCTGCCTGCCTGCCTGCCTGCCCAGTAAAGTCAGAGGGCAATTGAAAGGGGGCAACGGCAACTCACCGAAGACCGAGGACCTGAGCTGCCTCCTTCTTGTCCATCTTGGCGTTGAAGCCGCCCTTGATCCATTTCCCGCCCGAGGGGCCGGACGACTTGGGTTTGAGGAGGAGCTGGGCGGCGATGCCCGCGCCGACCAGACCGGCGCCGATGAGGATGGGCGTGGCGATCTCGTGGCGGGGCGTGTGCTGGAAGAGGAGCTGGGACGTAGGTCGGAAGGCGTGCGGCACCGAGCGCGAGGCGGAGGTGAGGTGCGTTGATCTCGTCGCCGTCGCCGTCGCCGCCGTCGTCGCAGGGGCAGCGGGAGCTAGGGAAGACGAAGAGGTGGAGGTGCTAGCGAGGCAGCGGGCGTTGCGTGCGGAGCGCAGCGCCAGACGGGTCGAAGTGGGGATCATGGTGTGGGTATCTCTGGTCGGGCTGATGGCGAATTTGCGGATGGAAAGACGGCCTGGACGGAAAGGAGCTAGGGGTGAGGGTGATTGATGATGGTGGCGGAGGCGGAGGCGTGGTGGTACCCTATCTCGGCGGCGGCGGCGGCGGTGGTTGCTGACCCGATTCGAGCCGTGGCCACCGGAAACGACTTTCCAAGACTGACTCTCGGACACGCTGCCCAGCTCTTCCTTCTCGCTCGCTCCCTCGCCCGCCCACCTCTTTGGCCCCCGGAAATTTCCATGGGCGCTCGGTTCCGAAGTCGGCACCACGCAGCTTCGCCTGGCCTATCACTCCTCTTTCCTAAGGATCGCGACGACGCATCATCGGTAGCAGAGACAGGCACACGCAACAACACACACACATGCACACGGAGCTGAGCCGCGGGCTCTCATGATCACGGTGAACGCATCGCTTCGCTGTAGAACCCCTCCCAAACCCCCGTGGCCTGCGCCCCTCCTGATGGCGCCTTGGCGTGGCTGCTCGACGACGATGGCTGCTGAGCTCGCCCATCGCGACTGTCGGCTATGAGCTGGTCGGCGGTGCGCAGGATGGCAGTGATATCCTTCATACTCTCGATCTGGACCAAGCCGTGGAGGCTGACCGCCTTTGCTGCGGGTCCGCGCGGGGTGGCATCCGCCGACGATGCTCCGCGCTGGAAAGCGTCGAGCGCCCTAGCCAACGCGACGAGGGGATCGAGCCCGCCACCGTTGCGCCCTGCGGTGTCCCTCTTCATCGCCATCGTCGAGCCGCTGCACCCAGGTAGATCCGAGATGGCCTTGAGCGTGCAGGTCTGCCAGCGGAGTCGCTTGATGCGCCGGACGTACTCGGCCACGGCATCGTCGGCGGGCGCCTGTGATGCGGCGCCATCGACGACGGGCGGTCCGGCGCAGACGAGCACGCCCGGGTAGCCCACCTTGAGGATGCCGCAGAGGCGGAGCTCGCGCGCCCAGCCGTGCAGCGTGGCCATCTTGGTGCGCGAGAGGATGTGGTGGAAGCTCATGACGGTACGACGCGACATGGTGAGGGAAGGCAGGTGCGGTGGAGAGCGACGCAATGGTGTCGGGATTGCCAGTGTCGATGCGATGCGATGCGATGCGATGCGATGGCCTGGTGTCTGTTGGGTGCGGTGATTGGCCGCGGTCCGCTGTTTGGCGTCAAGCGGGACGAAGCAGGATATGATGGCGAGTAGGTGAGGGTCGAGAAGAGAAGGGCGCTGGCCCCGCGCCCGGGCAACTCGGCCCGCCCTCGGAGACGCCGGTCAATTGGCCGGCGCCGCTGGTTGGCTGGCTGGCTGGCTGGCTGGCTGGCTGGCGGGTTGTTACCCCACGCTCACCTCGACGACGAGTGGGGAAAGCAGCAACGCTTGCAAGACACCGCCGCCGCCGCCGCCGCCGCCCGAGTCACTTTGTCGCCCGCAAAGCATCGCTTCTTCCTCGTCACCATCACCCGACCCCCTCCTTCGTTGCTACTTTCCTCTTCCATGCTGACATCGCCAACAGTTGCCCTAAACCGTCTGCTGAACAGAGCCCCCCACCTGACCCTCACATCGAGCACGGCGCCAACAAGCAGCACAATGTCTTCAACCTCATCCGGCCCCGCCTTTGCCTTCAACCCGCTCCTTCATCACCGCACCATCGATCCGCCCGTCCAGATCGGAGCGCAGTGGGCGCGTTCCTACCCGGGCACATCCTCGCCCTTCGCAGCCAAATCCGCCCTCGACGCCCACCCGCTCCTCAACCTCGCCCAGGGCGTGCCCGGGCAGGCGCCCACAAAGGACTTCCTCGACCACATCGCCAACGAGACCAACGCAGAGTACAGCCACGGTTACGGTCCCGTATTCGGCCATGCCGCCATCCGCAAGGCCGTCGCAGACGACCTCAACCGCGTCTACCGCTCCGCCGACCTGCCAGGGCACAGGAACCAGGTGCAGCCCCACGACGTCGCCATCACCGCCGGATGCAACCTCGCCTTTGCCGCCACCGTCCTCTCGCTCGCCGCGCCCGGGGAAGCCGTCGTGGTGCCCACGCCATGGTACTTCAACCACTTCATGACCCTCTCGTCGTTTGGCATCGACACGGTGCCCCTGCCCACGGCGCAGCCCGACTTCCTCCCCTCGACCGACGCGCTCAAGCAGCTGCTCCGCGACAACCCAAAGATCAAGGCCGTCATCCTCGTCACGCCAAACAACCCCACCGGAGCACTCTACCCGCCCGCCCTGATCCACGACTTTGCCAGGACCTGCCGCGACGCCAAAATCGCGCTCCTGCTCGACGAAACGTGAGTGGGTCAGCGTTGCTTCACGGCTATCCGCAGCTTGCCGCACGTTCTGACTTGATGTCCGTCACAATGGCCTTCCCCTTGCTCAGGTATCGTGATTTTGTCCTCGCCGAAGACGAGGCGAGGCCGGAAATCGGCTCGTCCAGCGGCGCAAAGGGGACCGCCCTCGCTGAAGGCTCGCCGTCCACTTCTCTGCCCCTCGGACGCCCGCACGAGGTCTTCCAGGAAAGCATGGACGGCGATTCCGCTTGGAACTGGCGCCAGACGGTGATCCAGCTGTTTAGCTTCTCCAAGTCGTACGCCATCCCTGGCCACCGATTGGGTGGAGTCGTGGCGCACCCGGCCTTCCTGCAGCAGGTGACGCCCAGCGCGACCGGGGGCGAAGACGTCGCCTTTGGACCGATGGCCAAGGCGCTCGACAATTTGCAGATCGGCCCTCCTCGAACCGACACGCAGCGCGCTGTAGCCTGGGCCATGGCGGACGAGAAGCAGAGGGAGTGGCGGCTGTCGACGGCGCGCGAGCTGCGCGACCGCCGCGTGGCTTTCAAGCAGGGCCTCTCGCGCAAGGTCCCGCGCCGGCTCGACTCGGACGGCAACCTGCTTTCCACGTCGTCGTCGTCGTCGTCGTCGTCGTCGAGCGACGGTGCAAAGAGCCCGGAAGAGTGGGGCTGGGCGGTCGAGAGCTCGGGCGCGTACTACGCCTTTGTGCGCCACCCATTCACCTCGACGCCCAGCGAGAAGGTCTCGGAGGCTCTCGCCAAGCTCGTCGGCGTCGTCACGCTTCCCGGCACCTTCTTCATGCCTCCTGGCTCGCCTGCGTCGCAGCACGAAGCCAAGAAGGGGGAGGCGGGCGCCGGTGCGATCACCGATTCGGGAGCGAGGTTGCGCGTCTCGATTGCCAATGTCCCCACCGACAAGCTCGACTTGCTCCCCGAGCGCCTCGCCGTCCTCAGCGAGCTGTGGCAGATCAAGGGCGAGGGGTGGGGCGTCTGAGCCGATCTCCGTTGAAAAGGTGCGCGGAGTGGTCGTCTGGACAGGCACGCTCGTCGGGCCGACTGCGAGAAGTGAAAAGCAGGAGGCGGCGGCGAACTGCACAGCGTCGGGTATGCGGTTGTCGAACCTCTCGCTACTGCAGCAGCGGATCCATCTCGCCCCCACTCCCGAATCCGATAGAATGCTTGCCCCATCGAGCCTGCACATCTGGCCATTCGGTTGGCCGTCTGCACAACGAAGGCCTGGTTGTCGGAATCGGTATCTAGCGTTCGTTGGCGGGCGGCCAACCTGCAGACGGCCAGGTACGGTCGTCAAGTGAGAGTCGTTGTCGCGCCATGCACCCGCCCTCATGCCCATCTTCCCCGCGTCGCGGCCTTTTCTACTCACCCACTCGGTGTCCTCACCACCCTGCTTCCAACCAAGGCGGGCCGGGGATGCGGTGTCTTTGGGTGCTGTGACCCTCAATCTCTCATCTTGAGCCAGAGGCTACCTCGATCGGACAGCAGGTGTCCTGCGAGGCATCTTGTCTGCACATGCTCACAAACAGAGACGTGGACCAGATGGAGCCTATCGAAGAAAGCCAAAGAGGCGTATGTACCGGCGTCGCCATCCTTCGTCGCTGTGCACCGTGCCTATGGGGTTTTGACCCCTACCCCGTCGCGGCGGCAAAGGGGTGGACGGTACGTACGTACGTGTTCGGGGCGCCCGTCATGCCCCTGCCTAACTCACCGCGAAACAGGAACGACGACCCACCCACTTCCGCAGCAAATTTGTTTCCATCGTTTCCTGTTCTGATAGAGTGAGTGGGGTGGCCTGATCTGCCGACAACGGTGGGGGGAGTCGGCACCCGCGGCAATTGCGGTGATGTTGCCGTGAGTGAGGGACCGGGTCGCCGTGATTCGCTCTCCCTGTTGTTTCTCGACCCTCGTCACGACGAGGAGAAGGGAACAGCGGCTGGTAGGTCTCTGACCTACCCAGTTGGAAGGAGGAGCGGGACAATAGGCAGGGAGGAGGTGGGAGGTAGATCTCAGCTCACCTTTGGTGCAAGTGCGAAGCGAAGCGGGGGACGATGGTGAGGAGGCTTTGGCTCTCGCTCGCGTGGTCAGATGCTGCGAGGGGCCTGAAAGAGATCCATGCCCCCGCCACATCGTCCCATTCTCCCCTCTTCTCCAACCTCCTCTTCCCTCGTTTCCCTTGCTACCCCTGCCGCTTCTTGCTCCTCTAGCCCTTGCGGCCGGTCTCTGCAGTCCCATTGCCGCACCATCTCTGCTCGCGAGGGGTAACTTGACGGTCGGTATCCGCTGAAACCCTCTCGTACATCGACTCGATCACGGTAGCGAACGATCCTCGAGCACGACCGGGCACCAATGACAGCAGCAGTCTCTGGGCTTTCAAGTCCCGGCCGGGCCCGCACGAGCTTCGAGCGTCGCGAAAGCCTCCTGAGCTGGGCACGACAGAAGGAAGCCGAGCCGCAACGCGATCCCGTCTCAGACCAGAACGACAACGTACCGCATCGCGTCTCTTCGAGCCAGAGCTTTACCGGGATCGACACGGTCGCGCTCGAGGACGAGGATGAAGTCGAGTCGCTTCGGCCGATTCGGTTCGACGGTCGCCAGGGTTGGGACACAGACACAGACACTGACGATGACGACGCCGACGACGATGACGAGGGTGACGAGGAAAGGACGCCGTCGCCGTCCCGGTCTCTTCTCCCGCTCCTCGATGACCAGGACCCGTGTAGCCCGATCTATGACGATGGCGCCGTGAGGCAGGCCCACCGCGCGTCCGTCCGTTCCGACACGCCGCGCCTCTTCCCCAGTCGCGTCTGGAGTAGCCCGGCCCTCTGGGCTACGGCTCGTGCCGCTTGCCCTTCGCCGCCCGCGTCGTCTTCGGGATCAATTCGCGATAACGCGGCACGGCCCGAGGACGCCAATACCAAGCACCTCACGCTCGATTGCCGACAACGGGATCGTCCGTCGACGCCCCCGCTCGCTAGAGCTTCCACGGACGAGGATACAGCGTCGTGCTCCCCGCCATCGCCCCGCACGCCGCGGGCCCGCCGTGCGGAAGGGGCAAAACGCAAACTGTACAAGTACGAGTCAGCCGTGTTTGAGCTGGTGGATACGCCATCGTTGGGCGGCGGGCCCCGCTCCAGCTCATCGGGATATTCCGAGAGCTCCCCAGAATCAGGGTCAGCAGGAAGCGACAACGTCGGTCGACGCGGGCTTCCCACGTCCCGCCGCGTGCAAGACAACGAGACAAACGCATCCGCCCCAATTTCAGGCACATCATCGCCTCGGCGGAGGACTGATTCGGACGGCGCTAGGCGCCCGACGCACCACCGACGAACGAGCTCGCTGAGCGAAGGCGAAGACGTATCGACGCCGCGCGAGATCGGCGAGTTCAAGCGCATCCTCAAGCTCAACCGCTTCTTTGGCGAAGACGTGGTCCACGCCGCACTACCGCGCCCGGGTCAGGGTCCGGGTCCTGGTGCCAGCCCCAGCGATGAGAAGGTCGAGCACAAGCCCTTGCCCAGCCTTCCGGGCGGGAAGGCGGCAGCGGTGGCGCCGAAGCCTGTCATCGAGACGAGCTTCTTGCCTTCCTTTTCCTCGTCGTCTGAATCTGGAGACGACGGAGAGGTGGACAGCGCCTCGCGTACAATCGACAGTGGCGAAGACGATCCGTGTCCTTGGGAAAGAGACGAGCTCGAATGCGCCGGCCCTGGTCCGAGCCGTCGATGGGTGCCCAAAACGGCCAGGCTGAGCCCTGCGGGCAGGGCACCCCTCGCCCATCAAGGCAAGGACGACGTCGCAGGCGCCCCTTCCTCGTCGTCGTCGTCGTCGTCGTCGTCGCAGCCTCCCAAGACCGGTCCGATCTGGAACCGCCTAGGCTTCTCGCGCAAGACGATCAAGACCGAGTCTGCCGCTGCCGATCCGGATGCCTTTTCCGAGCCACAGGACCGGACGGTTCGGCACCGATTGAGCGACCTGCCGTCGTCCAAGCCGCTCGTCGTAGCTCCAGACGGTCCGACCGCATTGATTAAAGGCCGCGAATCGGGTGGATCACTCGGCCTCTCTCTCCACGCTCCGACAGCTCACGATCCGCGCAGGCAGACTTCGATGGGACAGCTGGCGACGGCCCGCCAAGGCTCGGTCGAGTCTCCAGGCAGGGCCACGCAGCTCCCGTATCACTGGCTCTGAGTCCTCTCCGCCGTCTTCGTTTCGGTCACGAGGCTGCATCGTCTGACGCTGGCGTCGACGATGCAGGCGCGCTGCGTATGCTTGCTCGATAGATGAATAGATAGATGACATGTTGCCGCTTTGCAGCTAAGCAAGCCCTACCGCGTGCGACTAGAGGATCGCTCCGCTGGGCATGGTGTAAGGTAATCCGCCAGTTTCGCTCGTTTGCCCATCCTCGATCGGTGCGAGCAGCTCCTCTGGTATCGGTAGGACCAGCCTGAACGAGTCCTTGCCTGACGTGGACACGGGGAGAGGGGCGGGATAGAGCAAGCGTCAGCGAGCAGTCCAATCGCTCGCCGTCGAGCTCTGGCTGGGGAAGCATACCTACCGTTGAGATAGAAGCGATGCAGTCGCTTCTCGCGGATGAAGCCCAAGCTTTCGTACAGGTACAGCGCCGCCTGATTGTCTGCTTCTGTTTCCAGCACGACCTGCAAGGGAGCAGATAGAGGGGCAAGGTCTTGCCGCGCATCAGTCAAGATCTGTCGAGACGGTGACAGCCCCCAAAGGGCCCACGTACCTCCTGTGCGCTTCCGCGGATCATCTCGTCCAACGATGTGCGGATCAGGCGTTTCGCTGTCGACAACAGGCGGATTGGGCGTAGGCTGCGGTGTCAGCATCGACCGGGACCATCGCACACCGTCGCGAGATTGTAGTCAACGCACCGATGCCCCTTCCTCGCCACTCTTCTCGTATGCTGAGCATGGCAATGTAGCCGCGCATTAGGCGCTTGCCCTTGAGGTGGCGGTCGAGCTTGCTGACGATGACACCGACGGGAAAGAGATGCCTCCTATGCTCGGGCGAGGTCGGGTCGAGGTCCTCCGGCGCGATGCCATCCACTCGGGCCGTCCCTGTTCCTCTCGCATAGGCCTGCCGCGCGTTGTCGCCGAAGCCACAGCTTGGAGGTTGAGCCAGCTGTCTGACGTGAAATCTCCTGCCTTATTACGGAGCGCTCTCGGCATCACTCACGACGAAGCAAAGGTGTGGCCATTGGTTGACAAAATAGCGATAGGTGTAGATGATGTAGGGCTCCGAAAGCTCCTTTTCGATGAGCTCGTTGATCTCGGGCAGCTGCTGCTCGCCGCGGTACGGTAGCAGGACGAGCTCGTGCGGATCGCTGGGAGAGACGGGCGCGGGCGCCATCACCGACGAGGATGTGGCCGCCTCCATCGCCGTCGCAGACTGGCCAGACCGAAAGATGGCGGGCCGACGGAGCGTGCCCTCAGTCGCACCGCCCAGCTACGCTACCGCTTCACTTCGGTGCCGTTGCTGCGGCGTCGATGGAGCGAATCGGCAGGATGGCCAACGAGCCTCGTCGAGTTGGTGCTTGCGGGCGCTGCGCTGTCGAGCTGAGCGCTGTCGAGAATGGCGAATAAGGTTGTCGTGTGCGGATCCGGGCCTGGCCTTGCGCTCGCCAGTTTGGCGTGGTGCGACCAAAGACAGGCCAAGGCGCGCGGCGGCGGGGGCTGCTTGGCCTGGCTTGGCGGGGATGGAAAAAAGGAAAAAGCTCGCTCGAGCGATGACGCGGTGCAGCCCACGCTGGAAAAGAACCCAGCCAGCCAGCAAGCAAGCAGCAAACAAGCAAGGCAGGCAGGCTCGACAGCCGAGCCAGCGAGCAAGTTAAGGGTCCAACCAGAGGCAGGCTCGGGTCGACCGGCTCGCCCAGAGATGACGTCTTGCAACCGCTCATGCGCTGCAGACGGGTGCGTCCAAAAAGGCGGCCTGCCTGCTTGCCTGCTTCTCCGCAGCTGCCCCGAAGCGGATCGAAGCCGCGGTGGTCGCTCGAACGGTCGGTCGGTCGTTCGGTCGTCGGTCAGGCCGGACGTTGCTCGACCCTGCCTGGCCTGGCCTGCGTCGTCTTCCCCGTCGTCTCCCCCGCTTCCGTCGCTTGGCGCGGGCAAGCTAAGGCGCGATGCCGGGCTTCGTCTGGAAGCAGGCAGGGTCTACCCCGGCACGGTACGGTGGTAGCTATTCTTGGGCCCCCTAGCCTTGATACCCGCAGCCACGAGCCCCGGCCGCCTGCCTTTGTCGCCGCTGCCGTCGTCGTCGTCGTCGCCGCACCGACGTTGATGCTGGTGGTGGCGAAGAGAGATGCGCTCGGGGTGAGAGTCAAGACACAGATAGGGCCAGGCTGGACTCCCGGTAGGGAGCGGAGCAGCTGCGAGAAGGGCAGGCCAGGCAAAGCATGGCGGGCATGGCCGAGACGGGGCGCCGTCGATGGATGCGGCCAGCCAGCCGTGACTCAGGCCAGACGCAACACCCCAGCCACGCACGCCAAGCAGCATACATCGGCTTGCCCGACCTGCCTGGCCAGACGGCCTCAAGGGCGCGCAGCCTGCCTGCCTTTGCCTCCCTGCCTGCTGCCGCTTGCTTGCGCTTTGTGCTGTCAGCCGGCAGCCTAGGAACCGAAACATGCTGCAGCCAGAGCGCACCGACCAGGCCGGGGTAGGCTAGCTATGCTATCCTACAGCCTCCGGGGCGAGGAGCCAGCCAGGTGGAAGCGGAGGCTGCGAGCAAGCAGCAGCAAGCAAGGCTGAGCCATCCGGATAGAGGCAGAGTCAGCAGACAGCCAGCCAGCCAGCCAGCCGGCGACCGTCAGGCAGCGGCAGCACAGCCCCGCTCCCATCAAATCGATCTCTGCCTGGCCGCAGCCATCGCGACCCCCATGACGCCCGTCATGGGGTCCGCTGGCTGGCCTGTCCGGCACCCTGCTCGCCCTGGGTCCCGTCGAGCCAGCCAGCAGCTACCGGTAGTAGACAGGCTAGGACCCTGGCTCGACCGAACCGACCTCCTTAGCTTGCCTTGCCAGCTTGCCTCTCTCGGTCTGTACGGTGGCATCGAGACCGCAGGCAGGCGGAGGCCTGCGCCGGCGCGGCAACCATCGTGGCGAGCGGGCAAAGGCGCGCTGCCTTAAAAGCGACGCTGCCGGGACGTCTTGTCGACTCCCCCTCCATCCATCTCGTGCCTCGTCCTCCTCACCTCCTCCGGACGCCCTCCCCCGTTCTGTCGCTCCGGCTACAACTTCAGCAGCCCGTCCCCTCGACCCTCGCCCTAACACCTTCCTAGCTTCCCCCCTGCTATCGAACCGGGCCGTACGACGAACCGCCGCCACCTCCTCCTTTCTCCACTCCGTCTCTCCCCGTCTCTCTACGCGAGAGTTCCGGCCTTTGCCCTTTCGCTCTCTTCGCCATGTCCGACCGTGAGCCCCTCCTGCCGACCCACGCTCGCAACGCCCGCGAGGACATTGCCGAGTACGGCACCCAGCTCAAGCACGACGCCAAGAAGACGGCCCGCCAGTATGGCGTCGACCCCAACGACCCCGTCGGCCAGGCGCGTGAGGCGGCGCCTTCGCGCGAGTCGCTCGTCAAGCTGGCCAAGGTCATCGGCGCGGTCCGCGCCGGAAAGATGCCCAGCCAGCAGCAGCTGAGCTCGTGGATCGAGAGCGTCATCAACAGCCCCGTCCTCGACGAGCGCAACGTTCCCGGCTCGTCGCAGCTCAGCCAGCAGGGCGCGCGCGTGCTGCAGGACCTCAAGGGCGTCCTCGCCTGCGTCGAGCGCGTCGCCGAGAGCAAGAACGGCGACAACAAGATCCAGAAGTTCTTCTACCAGACCTCGCAGGCCTCGGTCGGCCTCCGCGGCGAGGGCGGCGTCTCGTACAACCTCCCCAGCACCTCGTCGGTCGGCGCAGACGGCCTAGGCTCCGAGGCTAAGGACGACGCCAAGCAGGTCCTCCACAACGTCCAGCAGATCGGTCAGCTCTTTGTCACCTCTAAGCCCTTCCGCAACCTCGTGGCCGACATCCAGTTCCTGTTGCGAGACCTCACCGCCGACGCCGCGTCGCAGGCGGCCAGGAAGGCCGGCCAAGCCGAGGGCAAGATCCGGCCCAGCGAGCGCGAGCGCCAGGCGCGCGGCGACGCCATCGACATCAAGGCCCCCTCGCGCGAGGACGTCAAGTCGGCGGCGGACCGCGCCAAGAGCTCGGCCCAGCAGGCGACCAAGGACGCCAAGGGCTCTCTCCAGGACGCCGCCAAGTGGGTCGACGAGAAGACGTCCGACGATGCCAAGGACGAGTTCATCGAGCGAATCCGCGAGGTCGTCGGCCAGGTGCAGGAGGACCCCGACTTCAAGAGGGCGCTCAACGGCATCTACAGCATCGGCAACAAGTGGATCGACATCGTCCAGGACGTGGCCGAAAAGGCAAAGGAGCAGGTAAGTTGCGGATGATGCGAGTGGCAGCCGACCGCCCGCCAGTTTCTGCCATGTGGGACGTCGGACTGACCTCTCGATGTCGCTCCCTCTTCTGCATCCTCTCACTCTCTTTCTCCGTGGCCGGCAGACCGACGTCGACATCGACACCCCCGAAGCCGAGGCCAACGCCAACTTCCGCGAATCGGTCGAGCTGCTGCAGAACATCCTCGAGGAGTTCTCTGGACGCTCGCTGAAGCCGGTCAAGGAGGCCTTTGGCAAGTTCTCGGACCACGTCAAGGCCGTCTACGACAAGGAGGCGTCCAAGGAGACCAAGGAGCTGCGCGAGTTCATCGACGACGTCAAGGCGTTCATTGACCGCTCGCTCAACCAGGACGGCTACATCCAGTCGAACCGCGCCAACCGCGAGGCGTCGGACCTCTACGACCGCGCCCAGACCATGCTCAAGGCGTCGGGCAAGGACGCCAACAAGGAGCTCAACAAGCTCAAGAGCGACTTTGACGAGGTGCTCGACGAGATCTCCAACTTTGCCGAGGGCTTCGAGGAGGACCCGGAGCTGCGCGAGCTGGGCCAGCGCGTCGAGAAGCTGGCCGACGACGTCAACTTCCTCAAGCTGCGCGAGTCGTTCGGCAAGGGCGGCAGCGGCATCGGCGGCTTTGTCAACACGATTCGCACCGACGCCGGCATCCTGGTGCGCGACACGGTCGAGGTCATCATCCCGCGAATGATCCAGCAGATCCAGGAGATTCCCTTCCCCAGGCTCGAGTTTTCGTCGCCCGAGGCCGACGTCGTCATCGACGACCTCTCGTTCCGCGCCTCGACGGCGTCGTTTGTCCCGGACTCGATCCGCATCGTCAACCGCAACGACCTCTCGCTGTCGCAGAGGCGCAACACGTACGGCAGCAATGTCGACTCGTCGCTCTACCTCGAGGTCACGGGCCTGCGCATCAAGGCCGCCGACGTGGCCTACTACATCAAGAAGAAGACGGGCTGGTTCGGCTGGGAGGACTACGGCTTCCTCGACCTCGACCTCGGCGGCCGCGACGGCACCAGCTTCGTCGTCAAGCTCCACAACGCCGACGAGGACGACGAGGAGTCGTACTTCCGCGTCGACAAGGTCAGCGTCGACATGAGCCACCTCGCCATCAAGGTGCGCCAGACGCGCCACTGGTTCCTCAACTTCTTCCTGATGCCCTTCGTGCGCCCCGTGGTGCGAAAGACGCTGCAGCACCTGCTCGAGAGCCAGATCCAGTCGTGGCTCCAGAACGCCGACAGGAGCCTGTGGGCCACCCAGCAGCGCGCCAAGGTCATCAACAGCTACAGCAAGACGGCGCTCAAGTCGGGCCAGGGCGTGTCGATGAAGGCCTACACCAAGGCAATCTTTGCCCCCGAGGACGACGCCTTCTCGCCCTACGGCAGGGCGGCCAAGTCAAAGCCCAAGACCGACGTCGGCCTGGCCCAGGGCGTGCTCGTCGAGGGACCGCACGGCGACTTCAAGCTGGCCATCGGCGCGTCGCACTCGAGGCAGCTCTTCCCCGGCAAGGGCGGCCCGGCCAGGCACGCCGAGCGCAAGGAGCAGCAGTACGAGGAGCTCGAGAGGACGATCCGCGAGGGCGTCGAGCAGGCCAAGCAGAGCGTCGAAGAGGTGCGCGAGGGCGCCCGCGAGGCCGTCGAGCAGGTTCGCGAGGGCGTCGAGGGCCTCGAGGGCGACGCCAAGAAGACGAGCAAGCAGGCAAAGGGAGAGGCGCAGAAGCTCTCGCGCGAGGCCCGCAACCAGCAGAGGAAGGAGAGGCTCGAGTCCGGCTGGAAGTCGGACGTCTTTGACATCGACCTCTGAGCCTGGCCAACAGCGAGCCGGCTTCCCTGATCCGCGCGTCACCAAATCGGTCCCGTTCCTTGCGTTGCACTTCTCTCAAGTTGTGCTCTGTGCCACGGCACTTTGCGGTCGCTTCCCTTCCGATACCTGCCCTGCTTCACCGCAGCTCGTCTTGACCCAGCGTTCTGGCCCAACCTTCGTTTTGACGCTCGACCTGCCTCGCGCCATCCAAGCCCGCCATCTGCTGCCAAACACTCGTGCTCGTGCCCCCCTTCTCATTTCATCAACGGCCCTCCCTCACTCTGCACGACCAAAGGATCGACCTGACTCTGTGACTGTACGTACGTAGCCTTCCATCACCACCATTCAGTCCAGGCGCGAGGCTGCCCTCCTTCATTGCCACCACTCTCACTGCCCGGTGCCCTCCGCGCTCTTGGCACCGCTTGCACGGTCTGCTAGCTCGGAAGCCGGAGGTCAAACGAGTCCAGATTATCTGAGGGCGGCGAGATATCTACACAGGGTTGAAAGGCCAGCGGGCGGTGGGTGTCCCGCAGAATCGGTGGGATCGACCTGGACCTTTCCCCGAGGGTCGAGGCTAGGGGCGGGCGGCTGGGAATAGATCGTGATAGGGAGGCATGACGATCGAGGCGAGGTCGTGGCAGGGCATAACATCTAATGGAGGAGAGAGAGGGGCTGGGGAAAAACGTTCCTGTCTGCTCTAAGAGGCGATCGAGCGGGATGACCGGCAAGAGGGAGACGCGGTGGGGGAAAAGGAGAAGTCCCATCTAATCGCTCTCGTTTCCCCAGTCGTCGAAGCTATCCCGGTGCTTTGGCGGCGCCGCCGCCGTCGTCGCCGATCCATCAGCGTGGCTACCCGCCGCCGCCGCCGATGAAGACGATGCTGGGCTCTTTGTGCGTGACAACGGGCTGCGTGCGCGGGGCACGGGCGACGTCGCGCCGGCGCGAAGCGAGGCGCTGTTGGACGCGGCCAGCGTTGACGGCCGGCGCTGCTTGTCCTCTTCCCCGCCGTGGGCAGCCGCCGCCGCCGAAGCGCCCAGGTCGCCGGCGTCGATCGACCCGTCGTCGATGGCAAAGACGACGTCGTTGTGGTGCTGCGCATGCTGCATCGCGTTACTCGTCGACGACGTCCGCCTCCCCGTCAAGGAGGAGTTGGGCCGCGAGAGCGAGCTGCCTAGCCTCGCCTCTTCGTCCTTTGCCTCGGCCGAGGCGGAAATGTAGGGCGCGCCCGCCTTGCTGCTGGCGGCGATGGCGTCGAGCGGGACTGATTCGGCAGTGTTGGGATACCCGTTCTCGAGGTTGGTCGCAAAGGCCGACCCGGGTCGGTTGGAAGGAGGCGCGGCGCTCGAGGGAGCGGCGGCCGAGTTGCGGAAAGGGTAGTTTTGCTCCATCGCCGTTCGCATCTCGTCGGTGAGGAAGACTGGGGCGGCACGTCGGCGGCAGAACGGAAACGGAGGGGTCGGCCACAGATGCGGTCAGCGTGGTTGGCAGGTTGCCGAATGCTCCCCCTCGCGACCCTGCACTGCGACGTCGGCCGCTGCGAGACTCACAATAGAAGCAGATGGTGGCGAGGCAGGCGCCGGCAACGAGGTCGATGAGGTAGTGGTGCATCAAATACATAGTGCACCAGTAGAGCCAGAAGCAGTAGCCCCAGTAGAGGACGCGGGCGTCGAGGCGCAGCCTGCCGATGCGGATCGCGAGCGGGAAAAAGTAGCTGCAGAAGAGCGCCTTGATGGTGGCATTGCCGGCATGGAGCGACGGAAAGGCGCCAAAGACCATGGGGGCGCCGGTGAAGGCGACCGTGTAGCCGTGGCCGCCAAACAGATCGTCGATGCGGGCCAGGCCGGCGGGCGATCCACGCATGCCGTAGTTGGCGGGGGTGATGCCCTCGCGCAGCTCGTACCACGGCGGGGCGCAGGGGAAGGCGATCTGGATCATGACGCCGAAGAGCATCATGAAGCCAAAGGCGTTGGCAAACACCTTGACGCTGCCCGGCGGCGCAAAGACAAAGAGGAAGGCGGCGACGACAAAGGGGGCGACAAAGTGGATGACGCCGTAGGGGATCCACGCAAGGATGTCGAGGACGGGATGGCCGAACTGGGTGAGGATATCCGAGATGTTGGCGCCGTACCAGATCGTCTCGAGCGTGGGCAGCACCGAAACCCAGATGTGCGGGCGGGTCGCGGCGGGGATAAACTTGCACGAGTAGAAGAGGATGAGCCAGCCAAAGATGGGAGCGGCGGGGAGGAAGAACTGCGACGTGATGGGGAGGAGCAGCGTAGCGGCGTAGGCGGCGGGGATGAGGAGCTTGAGCGGAAAGCCGGGCGACTCCATGACAAAGAGGCTAAAGACGGCGATGAGCAGGAGAAAGGCGTACTTGAAGCGCTGCCCCTTGGTGGGCTGCCAGGCGCGGAAGCGGTCGAGGTTCTGCTGCACCGACGTGGAAGCGTCGAGGCGCGATGCGGCGGCGAGGATCCGGTTGAGCAGGTAGCTCAGCCACCGCGGCAGCATCCGTTGTGCCTTTGGCGAGAGCCGCATCGTGGCCGAGCTGCCGGCACCGCCATGGTATTGGCCACCCGGCGCTCCCGAGGCGAGTCGAGGACCGCTGGCCCCGGAGCTGCCGACCATCTGCGCGGGTCCAAAGCAGCGCGCGGCCGGAGGCGAGCCCGAAGTGAGCGGTGGAAGAAGGAGCAGCAAGCCGCCGAGTGAGCCGGATCGAAGCCGAAGCCCAAGGTCGAACAAGAAGTGGAAGTGGAAGCTGAAGCCGGTCGCGTGCAGAGGCGGAGAGCGCAAAGGGCCTAGGAGGGGAGGGGAGCGTGGAGTGGGATCAAAGATGAGGACGAGGGAAGGGCCTAACACAACGCAACGCAAGGCCACACAAACGCCTGGCAACGATGGCAGGCCGAGCCATGCCCTCGCCTGGGAGCGCGCGGGCGCCCCTTGGGCGGCCTGAGCTCAAATTTCTTCCGCCGCCGTCCGTGCCCCATGCCCGTGGCCCGCGCCGTTGTGGCTCACGCTCGCGCTGCGCCTCGCCCTGACGTTGCCTCGCCTGGCCTGGCCAGGCCAGCCCCGCTCGCTGCTTGGCTCCACCCGGCTCTGCTGGCCTGCCTTCGCTGGGTGGCCCATCCAGCCAACGTCGGACTCGGCACCCGCCCGACCTACCTGCTACCTACGCCTTCCCTCTGTGCCCCTCGAGCCTGCTTTCATCCAGCATCTCCATCGCCTGCCATCGGAACGAGCCGCTGCCGCTGCCGCCGCCGCCGCCACCACCATCACCACCAGTGCCACTGCCACCGCCATCGGCGTCGCCGACAGTCTGCACGAGCGAGGACGACGACGCAGTCAGCGGTTAATCCCTCACGGCTGTCCCGCTTCAGTCGACACCAGCTCCCCGTTCGATCCCGCACCCGTATCGCCTGCTCCGCCACCACCGCTTGCCCATCGCATCGCCCCCGCCCACCGCCAATGTCCAGGCTGTCTCGTTTCGAGCTAGCTACTGCCCTGCCCCTTCGTCACCAGCCCCACCCCGAGATGCAATATCCTCGTCCCGCTTTCGTAGGATAAGCGCGGCGCAGTCCCCGGCCAGCCAGCCAGCCAGCACCCACCCACCTCCGCTGCCAACAACGGCCGCGCTACCATCTTCATCGCATCTGCGCCCCTTTCGCAACCCCCATTGGACGCCCTCGCGCGGACACCGCCTACCATGACGTCCAACTTTGCACCTTCCGGCCGCGTCAACTCGCTCAGCGTCGACCGCTTCAGCAATGCCAGCGACCGCCGCCGCTCGTCGTCGTCCCGACCGCAAAGGCCGCTGATCAACGAGCGACCCGTCATTCTCTGGACCCATGAGCCGCCCAACTTCTCTACAAAGGAGGTCGTTCTCAGCCCCGACTACTCGCTGCCCCACCTCTCCGAGGGCGACCTCCTCCGCCTCACGCTGCCCGCAAAGGCGCCCACCTCGACGTCCAAGAACGGGCCGCCGCCGGCGACGCCGGGGCATGCAAGGGGGCACAGGAAGGGCCTCAAGCCTTCGTTCGTCTTCCGCCCCGTCCACGCGCTCGCCGACCCCGACTTCGCGGCGAAGCAGTCGCAGCTGCAGATCAGCATCTCCAAGAACCTTGCCTCCATCTACGGCTTCCACAACCGCGCAGAGGCCGTCCTTACCCGCGTTTCGAAGGAGGAAAACACCATCGACCACGTCGAGCTCTACTTCCGCGACCAGTACGTCGGGCGCGCCGACATGTGGCGCTTCCTGCAGAACCTCGAGGATACGTGCGTCTACTGCGGACAGAAGATTGTGCTGGCCGGCAGCGTGCGCGCCACCATCGGTCGCATCTTTATCAAGGAGAAGAAGGTGACCAGCGGCTACGTGGCCGCCTCGACCAAGGCCATCTTCCGCAGCGAGTCGGCCAAGTACAATCTGTTCATCCAGCTCGCCCGCGAGATGTGGGAGTTTGACGAGGACGGCGAGATCTACTACGAAAAGGCGCTCCAAGGCTTTATCCCGGAGCTCCTCAAGCGCTGGCGCTCTGTGCAGACCAACCACGTCCTCTCCATCACCCTGTTCGCGCGCGTGCACTACGACGAGTCGGAGCTGCACATGCTCGAGGGCCCCATCCGCATCGACGGCCAGGGGCGATGGTACATTGACTACTACAAGGTTGTCGTGGACCTCGAGACCAACTGCGACTGGTCGGCCATCCTGACGTCGCTCAAGGAGGAGTTTTTCCGCTTCCAGCACGACATCCTGCTGCTGCGCAGGCCCGTGTCTGGTCCGGCCGCCAGCCAGGAGGAGCTCCACGCCGACCTGATCCGCGACCGCGTCCACTTGGCCGGCCGCCTTTCCTACTCGTACGAGGGCAACCTGCTCGAGGCCATCAACCTTACGCTCAACCCCTTCGACGAGCACTACATCGATCGCGACCTCAACCGCACAGGCTTGTCGATCGTCTTCCTGACCGCCGGCACGGGCCACTTTGAGGTCGACAAGCGCCTCCTCCGCATCACGACCGAGAGGATGATTGAAAACGGAATCGGCCTCGACCTCGTCTGCCTCACAAAAATGCCGCTGCACTCGGTGCCCCTCTTCCACTTCAAGTCGCACTACCCGGATCAGAGGGAAGCTGGCCCGCCCGACCCGCGCCAGCAGAACAACAGCTGGTCGAAGCGGAGAGGTCCGCCGGGCGCAGGACCCGGCGGCTCTCGCACCCTCACGCACCGCCACAGCAGCCAGCGGTTGGGCACCGCCGCGCCGTCGTCTTCGGCCCCGCCCGATCCGCTCTACTTTGATGCCAAGCGGCCCGACGAGGACGAGGAGGACTTTTACTCGATGCCACACTGGGTCGACTGCAGCTTCTACAACCTTCAGCAGGACAAGCCCTTCCGCGCCGACCGCTTCGTCCCGCGCTGCAAGATGTACGAGGTCCAGATGATGGGCATCATGGAGAACCAGATCTCGGACATTGCCATCCCCTACCTCGACCTGCGCGCCGCTCCGAAGGCCTCGTCGGTCCAGTCGTCCTTCTACCTGCCTCGCCACGTGGGGCCGCCTGGGTCGGCGTTTGTGTCCGAACCAGCCGCGAGCGGCTTCTCGGACCTGGCCCTGGTCGGCCTGACGCCCAAGGAGCAGCGCCGGATCGCGCGGGAACGCTTCGATCGGGACGTCTTCGCCGACGTGGAGCCGTCAGTCAAGAGTCTCGTCAAGCCTGCCACGGCCAGCATCGAGAGCCCTGTCAATAGCGACTTTCAGCGGCCCTTTGATCGTCCGGAGCTCAAGCGGACCAACAGCTCCGGCTACGGAAAGCAGAGCGTTTCGGCATCATCGACGTCACCGAACAAGCAGGGGCACCCCAAGCTCAGCGCACTACGGACCTCACGCCTGGGCCGCGAAAGCTCGATCGCCTCGTCGGGGCACGATTCCATGCCGCCATCGCCGACAAAGACCCGGTTCGGCCTGCCACCGACGGGCGAAAGCCCAGAAGAGGCCAAGTACGCCCTACCCACCCGGCCCTTGTCCCAGGTGATGGCGCAGTCGACCTCCAGACCGGCGTCCATCCGGTCGACGAGCACGTTTCCGCGTGGTCTCCGCCTACTGGAACCAATCGGCAAGGCCAAGGCGCTGGTCGCGCCGACCGACGCGGTGCTCTCGGCGACCTCGCACCCCTTGAATGAGGAGGAGGAAGCAGAGGAAGCCAGCGAGCACCTTTCCGCCGCGACCGCAGCTTCGCGGCCCGGATCCAGGACGGTCAGCCTCAGCAAAGCCACGAGTCCGACGCGGCGCGGCAAGGGGTACGGCAGCGCGGCGAGCTGGCTGTGGAACTCGCTGACAGGTGGTGGCGCCGGCACAAAAGCTGATCATGCCTCTGCCAGCGGCAGCTCCGAGGCCGACGTTCAGGGCCAAGATCTGAACTCGACCCCGGCCACACGGCGGATCCAGGAGGTGCTGGCTAGCCAGCTGCGGAGCAACCTGGACCGCGAGAGGAGTCCGAGCAAGCGCTCGGTCAACTCGCCGGGCATCCTCAGCCGCACCTCCTCGCTCCTCTCCGTCCACGAAGCAGCGCACATTGCCCCCATCAAGATCCCGGCGCAGGTGGCTATCCGCAGCAGGCAGGAGGCCGAGGCTGAGGAGCGCATCTTCCGCGACCAGGACGCTTACGAGCAGCAGCTCGAGGAAGAGGAAGCCAAGCAGCGGTTCGCGCAGCGGGCGCAGGTGGAGAAGCAGACGTTGGTCAATCCGTCGAACCCGAGCAAGAACCTCAAGAGCAACACGAGCCAGCTCCTGCGTTGGCAGCACCTCTTCCCGCGGCGCCTCAACCACCACGTCGTCAAGTGGAGGTCGATGACGACGCCGGCGTGCTTGCCCCTGACGACCCTCTACTTGCCGACCGAGGCCGACCTGCTGGCCGGCTGGACTGAGCACCCGCACACGACGTCGGTGTCGTCAGAGACGGTCTCGTTCCTGCTCAAGAAGTCGACCTCGACGCACCCGGCGTTGGCGGTGCTGCGCGAGATGGCGTTCCACCGGCTCGCACAAGGCTACCAGTTCATCGTGCCGGCCAGCAAGAATGTCCGGGCCGCTTCCAGTCGCAAACTCAACGACCCAAAGCACTTCTCCCTGCGCTGGCCCTCGGAGCTGCTGCAGCCGGGCAACCTGTCTGCCGGCAACCCGATTTTCCTGAGCATGACCAACCAGATCCACCGCATCTCGTACGATCGGCAGGCGGGCGCCATCAACGTCAAGCGCTACGTCCGGCGCACAGAGTACAACACAGACCCGATGCAGTACGAGTGCTGCGTGTGGCCGAGGAACTTGCCGGGATATCAGACGGTCAAGGCCAAGTTCAGCTATCCGGACTCGGCGAGCTACAACTGGACCTACCTCGACTCGCTCATCGCCGGCTACGTCGACGAGCGGTTCGTCGACTCGCTGCGCTACTGGCGGACGCGCTTCGTGCTCGTCCCCACCGAAGGCTCACCGCCGCCGATGAAGGCGCCCACCGGCGAGGACCTCGACGACGAGGAGATCCGCCTGCTCGGCACCGACAAGCTCGCTGAACTCTTCCACCGTGCGCGCTACGTCAGGAGCCGCGAGGAGCGAGACGCCACCATGGCACCGCGCTTCCTGCCCACCTCGCTGGACCCGGCGCTGAGTCTAAGGGACGACGAGTTCATGAAGCAGCTGCTGGCCGCCGATGAGGCCGCACAGCATCGGACCGCGCAGCCATACTCTGCGGCATCGTCCAAGAAGCGCCACAAGAACGCTCTGGCGGGACGGTCGCTCGAGCTGGTTGCCAAGGACATGCGGACCAACGGCCTGGTCATCAATGACCGGCTCTGGCACCGCATGACGTACGCCGACATCTTCACCGGCGCCGACTTTGTCACCTGGATGTGCCAGGAGTACAGCGACGTCCATTCGCGCGAGGACGCCGTCGAGTGGGGGATGCAGCTCATGGACGGCGGCCTGTTTGAGCACGTCAACAAGACCCACGGCTTCCTCGACGGCCACTACTTCTACCGCCTCGCCAGCGAGTACGGGGGCATCCGATCCGCAAAGAGCTGGTTCCGCGGCTCACGCTCCAACCACGGCGACGATGTCTCGCCCAGCCGCGGAGGCTCGTTTGGCGAGAAGGACGCGCCGCGCCGCTCGATTGCCATGGGCGGACCGGGACCTCAGGGTCGGCGCCAGCCGTCCGGCGGCTCCTCAGACTCGGGTCACCCGCCGACGCTGGGTGGGCACAGCCGCCAGCCGTCGGTGTCGCACCCACACCCCACGCTCAGCATGACGAAGCGCAAGAGGCGCGTGCAGCTCAGCCGCTCGCTCATCATCGACGTCGACCCGGGCCGCCGCAGCGAGCGGGCCGAGGTGGCCTTCTTGCACCACGACGTGGCGCACAATCCGGATAACGGCTTCAACTTCCAGATCCACTGGCTTGGCACCACGGCGCGCTTCATCGAGGACATTGTGCAGAACTGGACGCGGACCGTCGAGAGGTATGGGCTGCGGCTGATCGAGGCCCCCATCGGGCAGATCAAGGACGTGACGCAGCACAACCCGTTCCAGGCGCCCGTGCAGATCGAGCTGAGCCTGCCGCCGCCACACCCGTCGACGTACGCGCACCGGCTCCCGCCCAACACGATTGCGGAGCAGTACTTTGAGTACGCGCTGCTGCGCAGGTTCGGCTTCATCCTCGATCAGGAGGCCAGCGACCGGTACCCCAAGGACGTCGACATTGTCTATTCCTCGCGGCCCTCGCACTTTGAGTACTCGCAGTTTGTCCACCGGTCCGGTGTCGGCTTTGTCCAGGTGCTCGGCGGCAAGGCGGGCTTCCTCTGGCTCAACAACCGCCTCTTCACCTCGCACCTCTCCATCAACCCGCGGCAGTCGGGCAAGGGCAAGGAGGGCGGACCGGCCCAGTCTCAGCTCCACCACCTCCACCATCAGCATCAGCACCAGAACCAGCAGCAGGCCCCCGACCCGGACAAGGTGCGGCGCGAGTTCACCGAGTTTTGCGCCGACCCGCTGGCGCTGGAGCGCTTCTACCGCCAAGTGCTGGCGCAGCTGTTTGAAGTCGAGAGGGAGGCGGCGGAGCAGCAGCGGATCCGCGAGGAGAGGTTCCGCGCCGAGGTGCAGCGCGAGCTCGAGCTGCTCGAGCAGAAGCAGCAGGAGGCCAACGAGCAGCAGCAGCAGCCGGCGCCCGGACACACGCCAGAGTCGAGCGGATGATTCGTCAAGCAGCAATTTGCAGTCTGGTCCCGGCAAGGGACGTCTACCCGCCCTGCATATGAAGGGCGCTCCGAGGGCGCATCTCCGATCCCGGCGCAATCAGCATCGGCCAGTGGGCAGCCACCGACACCGACGCCGAACGGATGCGCCACCAACTAATCCAGCATCTCACAGCCGCGCCATTGGCTCAACCACCTCTGTAATCTATCTCTATCCAGCTGCGCCACCCTGCTGCCCGCGACTATACATCGACGCCGTCGAATGTATTCGCTCTGCGTTGCAGCCCGCCCCGACGACCGCCGCACGCGGCATCTCAGCACTCAAAGATGCGAGCGGTGCTGACGTTGATCCTGCTCCACTTGTTGCGCCGCACGAGGAGCTGCCAGAGGAGGAGCTGGGGCCACTGGAGGTGGTAGAGGGCAAAGTAGGGCCACGGGTCGTCCTTTGCGAAGCTGGGGTCCGTCAGGGGCGGGATGACGGCGGGCATGTCGAGGTCAAAGACGGTGCTGCGCGGGGCCTTGGTCGGCTCGCCGTCTTCGGCCGCGGCGGGGATGGCGACGAGCGACTTCTGGTCCTTGAGGGCGAGCGCGGCGTAGGGACGCCACAGCGGGTGGACCCGGCTCGTCAGACTGTCGACCCAGCGCGGCAACAGGGCGGGGAGGATGCGCGCGGGCAGGTCGTGGCCGATCCAGCTCTTGGACAGATTGGAGCGATCCGCGTACGCCAGCTGGATGAGGTTCTTGGCTCGTCCGAAGCGCTCGCCCAGGCCAGCAGGTCGACGGGGCGATGACGACGATGCGAACAAATCGACGTCGCGGGCAGGTGCCTGCTCCATTACCGGGAAGCGGTGGACGACCTCGGAGCTGCGCAGGCTCGACGGGGTTAGGGCATCGGCGAGGTGGCTGTACCCGGACAAGAGGCAGATGGCCGTGTGGACGCGCGGGTTGCACTCGATGGCGACCAGCCGCTCGGGCGAGCTGCCGTCAGCCGTGGCGGGCTGGTAGATGAAATCCATCGAGAAGGCGCCCGTGATGCCGGCCTGCTCGGGCGCGTCCCTGCCCAGCAGGCGGTGTCGGGGCCACTCGGACCCATCCCGTTCCGAGAGGGCGCGCAGGCGTTCGAGGAACGAGTGGGTCCACTCGAGGGCCAGACGGCCGATGTGGGTGTTGCCGGCGGGGTGGTAGGTCATGAGCATGTCGTTGCTGGGGCAGCACACGAAAGCCGTCATCTCTCCGTCGATGACGGTGGCGTGAGTGCACCACTCGCTGGCCCGCTGCGCCGGGTCGCGGTCGCCGATGAACTCCTGCAGGATGTAGGGCGTTTGGTCGCACAGCGGGATGGGCAGGTTGCTCAAGCGGCGCTCCGTGGCCGCCCAGTCGGCTCGGCCGGACTTGGCGTCGGTGAGCGGGTAGGTCGTAAGGTCGGCGCGTCCGACGTCGTCGAGCTCGGCGGCGCACTTGAGGATGCACAGCGGGTAGCCCGGCTGGCGCAGCGTGTCGAGTGCCTCTTTGACCGAGTAGACGATGTCGGAGCGCGGCGCGGGCAGCTCGAGCTGGTCGAGGAGCGTGATGAACTTGTCCTTTTCGTGAAGTGTCTCGACGAGCTCGGGCGACTGGATGATGCTTCGCACCTTGCCGCCGGTCTCGGTGAGGAGGAGGTCGGCGAATTCGGCGTCCTGCCCCGTCGACCCTGCACCGGAGCAGGGGAAGAAGAGGTCGACGTCCTCGCGCCTGGCGACATCGAGGAGCGCCTCGATGTAGGGCGTCCGCTTTCCGCCGTCCCTGGCAGGCAGCGAGGAAGGGGCGATGAGGTGGAATGCCGAGACCGAGTTGGAGAAGCGGGCCGAGGCGAGATTGCCCCAGCCGCGCTCCTCGACCAGTACGACCCTCCAGCCCTGGCGCCCAAAGGCGCGACAGGCGGCGAGCGACTTTTGCATGCGCGCGCCATTGATCAGCACGGTCTTTGGGCGTCGGCCTTGGATGGCCCGTCCTCGATGCTGCCGCTTGCTGCGCGAGGTGGAAGAAGGGTGGGTGAGGGAGAAGAAGGCGGCGACGGCGAAAGAGGCGGGCGCGAGGAGGAGCGAGAGGCCGAGCAAGAGCAGCGTCGAGAGTGTCGACTGCAGCCGCGAAGGCAGCACGGGCGATGCCGGCATCTCTGGTGTCGAGCAGGGGAGGGAAAGGGGAAGAGCGGAAACGGAGCCGGGGACACTTCGAGAGCGGTGACGATAATGGTGGCAGTGATGGTGGTGGTAATGGAGGGAGAACCCCATCCACACAGAGACGGCAAACGGCAGATGACGACGAGACCCCGAGCAGTCTAGGCTGATCAAGCGGCGGAAGAGGCGGCGACGAGCGACCGACGAGCCCCTTGCTTGGTTCGCTCGGTTTGGTCGTTGGCGACGTCGACGATCGTCTGTCTGCTTGCTTGCTTGCTTGCTTGCTTGCTTCTTGCTTCTTGGCCGCGGGTTGGTCGCTCAATCGTCTTGCGCTGGGGCTGACATGTCCGGCAATGTCAGCCAGGCATGCCCCGGGCCTGCTGGACCCTGAGATCGCCCCGGGCGTCTGTGCATGCGCTCGTTCGAGGGGAATCCTCGCAGTCGCCGCCATCCAACCATCCTCGATGGTCTCCAGCACCGCGAGGACGGCCTGTCCCCCGAGGTGGTCTCTGGGCCTTGTCGCGCATCACTTTCCCAGCCCATCGGCCTCTTCCGGGGTCGTTGGCCAGCCACTTCGACGACCAGCCGGCGCGGCCGTAAGAGGGCAGGCGTCGTCGGACAGTTGCCGCCCAAACGAGCAGCAGCGAAGTCGGAAGCTCCGCGCCTTGGCTTGACGAGCCACGGCCGGCCGGCCAGTTCAGCTTACGCCAGGCCAGTTGGGCTTTCCGCGTCCCGAGGAAAAAGGGAAATGAGGGGTCAACCTCCACCTTCTCAAACGCAGGCCGGGCCAGGCCTGTGGCCATCGGTGCCAAGCCGGGGCCATCCGCGTGCAACAGGCTGCGAGCGTGAACGTTTCCCTCGGCCTGGCCGATGGGCGGCCCCGGCCCGTATGCGCAAGCTTGTCATGGAGCCTGTTGGGCCAGGCCGGGGCCTGATCCGCTGGAAGCCAGAGAGGCTAGGCTGGGGCCGGCCAGGTGAGCATGTCGTGTGCAGCACGGCCTGATCTGGTCTACTCGCCCATGGCACGTCAGGCTCAACTCCTCGACGAGGCGACATTCCTCCTCTCCCCCTTCCCACCACCATGGCTTCCAGCCGCTCACATCTTCTCAAGCTGCCGTTACGCATCAACTGCCCTGCCTCTCATCGCCTCGCTCGCCCGTCAACCATTTACCCGACCGCCCACGCACCTTCGTCTCGCACCATGGCCTCGACCCACTCCACCGCCGTCGACGGCGGCGACGGCGCAGGCAGCCTCAAGCAGCGTCACTCGACCGCCGGTTCGGCGCCTTCCGCAGGTCCCTCGTCGTCGCCTGCTCCCGCCAAGCCAAAGAACGGCGTCACAGCCGTCATCCGCGAGCTGGCTCCTAGCCTGGCCATCTTCTCGTACCCTTTTAGCAGGTTCGGCATCTTCCCCGTCGGCGGCAGGAGCACCGCCGTCAAGCTCAACGATGGCAAGGTCTGGGTGCTCGCCTCAACCCCGCTCGACGAGCCCACAAAGGCCAAGATCGAGAGCATGGGCGACGTCGCCTACCTCGTCGCGCCCGACGCCGTGCACCACCTCTTCCTCTCCCAGTACGCCTCGGCCTACCCTTCGGCCAAGGTCATCGGCGTCGAGGGCCTCGAGGAGAAGCGCAAGGACGTCAAATTCGACGGCATCTACGGCAGGGACCCTCCCGAGACCAAGTACGGCTTCGAGAGCGAGATCCAGGCGCGCTACTTCCCCACCTTTGCCAACAAGGACGTCATCTTCAACCACGTCGAGACGCGCACCCTCATTACCGCCGACCTGCTCTTCAACCTGCCCGCCCACGAGCAGTACCGCAACACGGCCAAGGGCGCGCCCTCGAGCCCCATCCCCTTTCTCAACTCGCTGTCGAACTACTTCACCCCAGACAGCTCGTTCCACAAGACCTTCCTCGGCTTCGCCGGCGTCGGCGGCACCATCCCGCACATGCCCAAGGGAGGCTCCAAGGACGAGAGGAGGAAGAGGTTCGCCCAGGACGCCGCAGAGGTGGCCAAGTGGGACTTTGACAGGATCGTCATGTGCCACGGCGACGTGATCGAAAAGGACGGCAAGAAGGCCTGGCTTTCGGCCTGCGAAAAGGTAAGTCGCGCGGCCGACGGGAGGCCAGAAGGGCGGCGCTCGACCAGCGGCGGCGGCGACGACGACTACGACGACGACTAACACGGGTTGTCGACCTCTTTGTGCCTGTGGACCGCGTCGTCTTTGATGCCCATCAGTACCTCGATCCCAGCGGCAACCCCAAGGTCTGAAGTGGGCGCGGCTCTTTGCGTCGATCCGTGTCCCTGATTCGCCTTGGCATCCCTGAGGCAAGAGCGTTTTCTGAGATTGCATCTCGACGAGGTACAATCTCAAATTCGAGGTACAATCTCAAAAGGCGCCTCTTCCCTCCTGACGTGCCGGCTGGATCCGTCCTTCTTCTCTCGTGCAGCACAACGATACCCCCCAACTGAAGCGTCCCATCAGCAGCTGGCGGCCACACTGAGGGCCTCCCACCCTCCGAGAGGTGTGGCGTCCTCGTCCGACCGCGCCGCCAGTCTTCGTCGCCGTGTCGCAGTAGTCCACGCACGTCCTTTGCCGTAGCCCCTCCTTTTTACTGCCGCTACCGTCGATGCTGCCTGTCGTGTGCACCTTGTGTTGCTGAAAGAGGTGGTCGACGAGGGATCGAACGAGGGTGGATCTCTCTGCGGGCCTGTGCTCACATACACCTTCTTGGCGGTGCCGTGGGCGGTGTCGCGCTCTGGAGCGGGTTTTCACGCTCAACCCCTCGCCCTGGATTCTTCTCCAATTTGTGGCTCCCCGCCGCACAGGACGCCCTCGCCCTTTCGGCTCTTCTATCGCAAGACCGGCAGCTTTCGTCAAAGTCCTCGTGGCAGGCCGGTGTGGCCCTGTGCGATGCGGGGTTGGCTTCGTGCTCCGCCTCTACGACAAGCAAGCAGGCCTGACGAGGCGGGCGAGAGCGACGCGGGCGGAGTACGTGTGTCTCGCTCGCGTCGAGCCAAACCGCGGCTGCTCGAGATTCTGACTACCGGTACCTTTGTCTGTCGCACGCCTGTTCACTCGAGAGCGCGGAGAGAGGTGCGGGTCTTGATGATCCGCGCAACTGGCCGACGAGGCGTACGTCGCTATGCAGAGGGCCGGGAACACGGAGCCAGAGAGCCGCCACGACGAGGTGGGCGAGGGAAACGGAGATATGGCGGCCGAGGGCGAGGTTGCGAAGCCTCGTCGACCCGGCCTGTTGGGGATTTCCGCTGCGATGAGGGGGGAGCCGCCCGGCCGCCAGCATGCGAGCTTCTTTGGGCGAGCGACAACGCAGGCCAGCCCGGCCCAGGCCAGGCGACGTCGAATCGGGCGAGCGAGGAAAAAAGGCCAGATCGAGCCCAGAGCCTGGAGTCGTGGCCCGAGCGGCGGCAGGCCAGAGCAGAGCCCCACCGCAAGCAGGCAGCAGCAGCAGCAGCAGCAGCAGCAGCAGCGTCACCGCCGTTGCAACCGGCGCCCCGGGCCCAAAGGGGAAGGCAGGCCCTCGTAGCCCGCTGGCCCTGGCCTGACTTGGGCCTGCCTGCCTGCCGGCCGGCCTGCCCACCAGGCCTCGTTCCTCGCTCTGTCCGGGCGGGCACGCAAGCAACGCACCGCACAGCCACCGGCCGCCGCTGCCTGCCTCTGCCCGCCTGGCCCTGCCTCGCCTTGCCTTGCCTTGCCTCGCCTCGCCGGCCTCTGCCTAGGTGAGTTAGCCTACATCTCTCTCTCACCTGCCTCCTCCTTTGAGTCTCCCTGCATCGCCCTCTCCTGCCAAACCCCGCCTTTCGTCGGCGTCATCGTCCCGAACCACGCCCCTGCTGCCCTTCGCTCCCGCCCTTTCCTCCCGTCCCCTCCATCCACGTAGCGGAAGCCCTCCTCCGACCTTTCTTCTTCCTACCTCGTCTTCGTCTTCGTCTTCGCCGTCGCTCGTCCATTCATCGCGCTCCCCCCCAAGCAGGACGCCCACCTTTGACCGACTCTTCTAAGCCTCCTGCTCTCGTCTCCGCCAGCACCCACCGCGAGGAGCAACGCCATCGCTAGCAGCCGAAACCCGACCCCGCGTTTCAGAATGTCCGTCGAGTGAGTACCGCAACCCCTCTGTTCTTAGCACAGCGAGGGCCGCCCCGTCGTCGAAGTCCTCGAACGTCTCTGTCGCCTCGGGGCACGGATGTCGGCCGCACGATTTGGACCCGGACCATGGACGGGCAGCGTGTCGATCTTGGCGAGGAAAGCGGTCAAACGCTCGGCCTCGGCGGTCGAACCGACGCGGAGGAGGAGGCTCGTTCAGCCAGGTGACTCGTTGAGCCAAAGAGCGAGCGGCTTGTGGCCCCGCCGGGTGGCATCCACTGCTTTCGGAGCATTCCAATCTGATTCTGGCCTTCGTCCGCTTCGCTGCTTCTCTTGGCGACAGTCTCAACCCTCACGTCCAGCTGGGCTTCCCTCGTAAGTTGGCGAGCTGCCTTGCTGCGTTGCCTGCTGCCGCCTCGAGAGCGCTCGCCTGACCCGATGCCCTCCTCCTATTTGCGCTTCCACGATGGCTCCGCCGCGCCCAGGCCCTCTGACTCAGCTGGTCAAGCGCACTCTCCAGGTCTCGAACCCCAACAACCAGCCCGTCGCCTTCAAGGTCAAGACGACCGCACCCAAGCAGTACTGCGTTCGGCCCAACTCGGGCCGCATCGAGCCCGGCGAGAGGGTCGAGGTGCAGGGTGAGTGTCGGGGCCGCTTTCTTGGCCCCTTGTAGAGCGCAGAAAGTGATGGCGCAAGCCGCTCTTTCTCCTGTCTCCGGAGTCGCTTTTTAGGACCGAAGATCTGACACCGTCCAATTTCCCTCTCCCATCGGGCGCTCTTTCGCAGTCCTGCTCCAGCCTATGAAGGAGGAGCCCCCGCTGTCTGCCAAGTGCCGCGACAAGTTCCTGGTTCAGTCGACGATCATCACGCCCGAGCTCGAGACCGCCAGCCTGCAGGAGATTTGGCCCCAGATTGAGAAGGAGAACAAGTCGGCCATCCACGAGCAGAAGATCCGATGCGCTTTCCTGCCCGCCGCCACTGTTCCCGTCGCGGAAGAGGACGAGGGCGCTCCGAGCACCCTGAACGGTGACGAGGTGAGTGCACGAGGTACCGGACCCCGGTCGTGCGCGGCGTTGGCACGCGAGAGAAGGTCGCAGAACACCCCACGACGGGCGGAGCGCTGACAATTGAGACTTCGCCTTGCTCCGCGCCACCCGCAGCGTTACACGACCGTGCGAGGAGCGCCGTCGAAAGTCAACGGCGACGAGACCTACAACCCCATCGCCGCTGCTCAGAACGCTGCGGGCAACACGGACGGACCCTCGACGGAGAAGGCCAAGCAGGCAGCCCTCGCCGCAGGAGGTGCCGCTGCTGCAGGAGCTGGCGCCGCGTATGCCGCCACTCGCGACGCCGGTGCCCGCGCTGTCAACGGCGTCACTGGCTCGACTGCCAACAAGCCCGAGAGCGACTTGTCGCCGCAGGAGATGCAGTCCGAGATCGCCCGCCTCAGAAAGGAGCTGGCGCAGGCCAAGGGCTCGAGCAGCGGTGCCACGATGCAGCAGAGCGCCGCTGGTGGCGTCCCCGTCCACATTGTGGCGGCCATCGCCTTCGGAGTCTTTGCCGTCACCTACATCATGTTCTGAGCTCGAATCTCGCTCGAGACGCTCGGGCAGCCAAACGGGACCGCGAGGCCAGTAGAACGGGAGTCGCTTCAAGATGCAGCATAGCGCTCGAAAACCGGCAGCGATGGCTGAAAGAGGGGTGAGGCGCCATGGCAACCGCACCACAGCTGCTCGAAAGAGGCGTGCAAACCGATCGAATCCTGTCGGCCCTCGACCAATACAGCTACTGCAATCTCGTCCCGCTCTCCGTGCCAATCCACCTGGCGGGATCCATCCTGATTCATCGGCTCGCCCATCCTCTGGACCTCGTCCGAGTCCGCGCCGGCCTCGCCGGCACCCCGATACCATCGCGAGCAAGCCGTACCAACTTCTTCCCCACGCACGGAACAGAAAATACCAACCTTCGAGCCTTTGCACCGGGGGCCGGGGAGGCGTCGATGGGCGTGGTGGGCGGCCTGCGCTGCACAGGGCGAAGCGTGCGGGCCAGTCTGGTGTTGGTCGCTGGTCGCTCATTCGCGTACTGGCAGCCGCTCCACGCACCTTCTCGCCCGTTCGTCGTCGCCGCCGCCGTCACTTGCCCCTCCTCTACCTCCTTTGTCCATTCCGCCACCGACATGTTGTTGTTTAGCGCTGCCCTTTCTTTTCTTTTTCAATCCCGTATCCGAGCCACACCTCTTCGGTTTCCGTCTCGTCCCGTCCCGACATCCCCCCCTCCCCCCTCCTGTTCTTGTCGGGAGGTTGCGTTATTCTATCTCGCTACCTTGCCCTAGTCCGTCCAGCTCGCTCGCTCGCTCTTTTCTCTCCTACACCAGCTCTCTCTTGCGGGTTTCAGCCTCTTTATCTGTTTCGTCGGCCTCGGTCTCACCAAGTCGCTCGCTCGCTCACTGGTCCACCAACGCACATTCATTCCCAGCCCGGTCCCTCCTCTCTCTCTCTCTCGCTCTAGCTCTCTAGTGTCAGAAGCATCCGATCCCGATCCAAACTAGCCAGCCTCGTACGCTCGAACAGGCCTCGGTGACGTCCAGGCTGCATCGAGGAGAGCAAAGGTGCATGTCAAGGGGTCGAATCGGTGCGCATGGATGAGCCTCGAAAAGGTATGTACAGGCCGGGTCGGAGCCGGAGGTGAGAACATCGGCAGATAGGGGGACAGAAGAGAAGAGGGAAAAGAGGGGCGTGCAGCAAGGGATGGCCACCTCACTTCTTGGCCTTGCCCTTGCCCGTGGCGCCTCTCGTCGTCGAAGACGTAGTCTTCTTGCCGCTGCCGCTCCCCGTCCCCGCCGATGCCGATGCCGACGCCGACGCCTTCTTGGTGGGCGTCTCGACCTTGTCCTTGCCCACCTTTCTCGTCGCCGCCGCCGCCGTCGCCGAGCGCGTCTTTCGAGGCGAGGGCTTCTTCTTCGACACCGAAACGTCGCCCGCTGCTGCCGCCTCGTCCTGCTCCTCCTCGTCCTCGTCGTCGTTGTCATCCGAGGGCGACAGCTCCAATGCGGCGTCCTCGAGAGCTGCCTCCTCCTGGATCTGCTTCGACGACGTCTTGGGCGACGCAGCAGCTGCCGCCTTGCCCTTTGCCTTGGACTTGGGCGTCTCTGCCGCGGCCTCCGTCGCCGCTTCGGCCTTTCGCTTCTTGGACGTCGCCGCCGGAGACGATGTTTCCGCTGCGGCCGCCTTCTTGCCCTTGGCCGAGGCCGGGCTCGAGACGGCCTCCTCGACCGCCTTACCCTTGGCCTTCTTGTCGGCCGCCGGAGCCGGCTGCTGGTCCTTCTTCTTCTTCTTCTTGTCCTCCTCGCCCTCGGCGGCGGCGGGCACCACTCGCTTCATGCCGAGCGAGCAGTTCCAGATGGGCAGCGATGCGCTCGAGCCCGTCTTGACTTCGATGTTTTGGATGTTGTTCCAGCCGCCGGGGATCTTGGAGATGACGGCAGGGACGGCGGCCACCAGGTTCTCCTGGAGCTGCTCGGGCGTGTGCGACGAGAGGTAGCCGAGCTTGATCGATGACGTGGAACCCTTGTTCTGCAGGAAGTAGGTCGACGAGATGGCCGACTCGAGCTCCTCCTTGAGGTGGCGCGTCCGGACGACGTCGACCGTGATGGGGTTCCTGAGCGAGGTGGGCGGTTGGTAAGCGGAGACGACGGCAAACGGTCAGCAACAGCGTCGGCGAGGGCGGAATTTCGTACGGTGGCAGGCACGCGCTAGGGACGTGCGGCGATCGCAGTCCCCGCTGCTGCTCCACTCACTTCTTGGCGTCAAAGAAGACCTTGCCGCAGATTTTGGGGACGAGCGGGACGATGCGCTGGTCGACGAGGAAGAGGTCGTGGTCCTTGACGAGGTCCCTCCTGGCCTCAAAGGGCTTGAACTTGCCCTTGAGCTTGGTGACGCCGACGACGCGGGCGACGCTGGTGATCTTCTCCTTGGTCAGTAGGTCCTTGTACTCCCTCTGCGGGTCCTTGACCAGCAGGCAGACCGACACCTGGCCGGGGCGGTGGACGGCGTTGGGGACGGGCACGCGGACGGGCTTGACCTTGGCCTCGGGGTTGAGCTGCTTGACGGCGACCTGGAGGAAGACGGTGTTGTTGCGGTCCCTCAGGTCGCCCTGGGGCCCGTCTAGGGGCAGCACGTTCTTGGCGTTGGCATCGTCCTCGCGCTGCTTGGCCAGCTTGTCGGCGTGGGCCGCGAGCGCCTTAAAGGCCTTGAGCGCCTGCGCCGGGTCCACCTTGCCCGCCGCGTACTCCTGCTGCCCCTTTGTGGGAACGGCGACGACCTTTTTCGTGACTGCCGGCATGCTGTGTCTGCACGGATTGGGTTTGGGAAGCTTGTGATGAGAGCGAAGAGGCGACAGGGGGGGGTATGATGGAGACAGGGAAGAGTGGGAGGTGACCACGGCCAGGCTGCTGCTGCTCCTGGTGCTGCCGCTGCAGCAACCACGGCGGCGCCGTTCAAAAAAATTCCAGGCGGGCGGCAGCCCCACCAAGCCCCGCGCTCGAGAAGAAAAATTCCAGGCTGGGCCGGGCTGGCCCTAGCCTTGGACCCCGACCTTCTGATGATTAAGCCTGACTAATCCAAAGGCCCCAGCGCGAAGAAACTCCACATCCCTGCCTCTGGCCTGCAGCGCCTCGTCTTTGGGACCTGGTTGGCTTCCCATCCTGCTCGCCCTCGTCCACCATCCCCGCCTCGCGCTCAACTCGTAGCCGTCCTTCGACACCTGCAGACTCCGCGGCTCACATCGCAACTTGCAAGATGGCGACAGCATCCGTCGACTTTTCCTCGCTCCTGGCCGAGCTCGAGCAGCAGAGGGACCTGACCGAGGTGAGCAGTCCTGTCGCTCGCTGCCTGACCGTTCTGTTAGTCGCCCTGTGGGCTCCATTTGACCGCCTGCGATATCTGTCTTTTTTTCGCCACCGTCTCTGGCAGAACATGCGTGAGAGGTCAAAAGACCTCGACAAAGCCTTCCGCTCGCTCTCGAGCGTGCTGAACCGCGTGCACTCGACGCCCGGCGACCAAGGTGAGCCCAGCCGCCCGCTTACGAAGTGTCGTACTGTTCGCTGACGACGACATCCCGCTTGGTCCCGGATGGTTTCGCGCGCAGTTCCACAGCTCGTCGAGAGCACTCAGCCCTACTTTGAGCAGTGCCGCAAGGCGATTGCCTCGATCATCGAGCTGGTGCCCGCCAACCAGTACTACCGGGTGAGTGGCCCTGAGCATCCTCGCCTCCGCCATCGAGCATAGCTGACGTGCCTGGCAACGCAAGTCGTGTCCGATGCGCAGTGGTGCGACGAGTGGACCTTCCACCTCAAGAACACGACGTTTGCAGCCTGCCTCGCCTACTTTCTCGGCACCGGCTATCTCCTCTCCAAGGAGGAGGCGTGCTCGATCCTCGGCAGTGAGTGCCCAGGACCGCCGGCATCGTGAGGAGGCGCGTCACCGGGCTAGCCGCTGACATTCTGGCACACACCTACGCACGTCGCATCTCGATGTCTTCCGCAGTCGAGCAGGCGCACTCGGACCGTTTCATGCTTTCTACGGAAGAGTACCTGCACTCGCTGGTGTCGATGATCAACGAAATGTCGCGAATCGCCGTCAACAGCGTGACGCTTGGCGACTTTCAGACGCCCGTCCGGCTGTCGCGCTTTGTCAAGGAGCTCCACGCCGGCTTCCAGCTGCTCAACCTCAAGAACGACAGCCTCAGAAAGCGCTTTGACGGCATCAAGGTGAGTAGCCGCGAAAGAGGGCCGCTTGGCGGGAGCAAGCCGACTGAAGAGCAAAGGCGACTCCACGTCGGCTTCCTCCCGAACCTCTCTGTCCCGCACTGCAGTACGACATCAAGAAGATCGAGGAGATTGTCTACGACATCTCGCTCAGAGGCCTGGTGAAGCCGGCGGGCGAGCAGGACGCTGGAGGACACGGCGTGGGCGTCCGCGTCGACGACGAGCGAAGGCAGCACGTCCTCAAGGTGCTATCCGGGCGGCAGTAGTAGAGTAGAGGTCGACTGCTTGCACCTCCCCAATCCTGCAACCCAGCCGATGCGATCTAGCCGCGACGACACCATGATGGCCAGACCTGGCGTGATCTTGGCCTGTGGAAAAGGTAGAAGGCTTCCCACGCTTAGTGCAACGGCACATGCGATATGAACTGGGCGGCGGTTGTCGGTCTCTTGTCGGAACGCAACCGCCGTCAATCGGCGCCGTTCCGGCCCGTCGTCTAATTTTGCACCAGCAGCAGCGCTCTGCGACTAATTTCGGCAAGGCTCCGTGCGCCAACGGAGGCCCGGCTTGGCACATGCACGCACCGCTCAGCAAGTCGACCTTGACTTGTCACCGGAAAGGCTGGCCAGCCAGCCAGCCAGGCAGGCAGGCCTTGCGGTGGCCCCTGCCCTCGTCTGCCTGGCTTCCCGCCCGCAGAAATTTCTTCTCGCGCGCTTCTTCTCGAGCGGGGCGGCCGGCGGCCAGGCGCGCTCGGCTGTTGGCCGCGTGTGGCGGCCCTCTCGGCCGCCCTTCTTAAGCCATCCTTGCCGGACTCGCCCTCCTCCTTCCCTCCCTCCATCCACTCGCTCCCTATCTCTTCACCTGACCATCGATGCTGTCGACCTTCTATCCCGACCCTCTCCGCCATCTCACTCAAGATTGCGTTCTGCAGGCCAGGCACCCGTCGACGCAGGCCATCGCCACTCGTCCGTAGGTAGTCGCGCGGCCACACTCGGGTATCCTGCAGCCAGCACGCTTGCACCTGTCGTCAACCGGTCGCAGGCCATCTAGCTGGTCCTGCTTGGCCGGATCGACGGCACCATGGGGGCTCCACTGCCCTGGCTGCAGGAGGAGTTCGGCACCTGGATCTGCGGCGTCTGCGGCGTCCGATCCAACGACGAAAAGCTGCTCCAGACCCACCTCGAGACCTCGCCCGAATGCCACGCCTTCTGCGCGCTCTGCGAGCAGAGCTACGATTCCCTCGCCGAGCTCAAGGAGCACGACGGCTGCGCAAGGAGAGGCATCCGCCTTCCTTGCGACTTTTGCGGCGAGGTCTTCACGGACCGCGACTTTGAGGCACACTGCGTCTCGAAGCACGCCGCCTGCAACGCTTGCATGACTTACTGCCCCGACACTGCCGAGCTCCGCCGGCACATCGCCAAGGCGCACGCCCAGCTCTACTGCAAGAAATGCGATCGCCTCTACTCCAGCGCCGAGGCGCTGGCGGAGCACGAGTATGGTGAGGCTTCGACCCTCTACGGCCGGCAGCTGGGCCGGCAGAGAGGCACCGGAGCTCGCTAACCACTCACTCGTTGGCTTGAACCGACCCCTGTGCTTCGCTGCTGTCAGTCCGACATCAGGTATCTGGACCGCCCTCGGAAAAGCGCGTTCAGGATATGCAGGCGGCCACTTGGCCTTCTTCGCAGTCGGGCGCCCGCGACGAGCGCCAGCTCCAGCAGGGCAGCAACGGCAGCAGCTCGCCTCGGGGGCCTCGAAAAAGGAATCGCAACCACCAACGAAGCCCATCCTCGGGGCCCTTCGAGGGTTCGGGCGGAGCGCTTACCGCTTCGCCAAGCCCGGGCCCCAATGCTCAACCCCCACGCGGATCGGGGCAACAGGCTCGCTACCAAGACAACGGCAGCCTGGCCCAGCATCGCGACACCAGCACCGATTTCGCCGAGAGGGCGGCGCGGGTGCGGTCGCTCAAGGACAGCGAGGACAACCTGGTCTGCCCGATGAAGAACTGCACGCACAAGACCACCTTCGTGAGGAAGATGATGCAGCACCTTCAAAGTACCGCCTGCGCCGGCCGCCTCAGCTCGGCCGAGCTCTTCACGTTTGCCGTGGTGGCCAACTGTGAGGGCGTGCTGCCGGACCTGTCCTTGTCCTTCCAGGACAACGTGCGAGCGCTGCAAAAGTCGTTGGCGCTCCAGTGCGACAGCGTCGGCGGATCGCCCCTTCCTCGGTGGAAGCCGATCATCATCAAGTTTCCCAACCAGGCGCGGCCTTTCCGCTGCCGCTCGTGCAAGAAGGACTACCCGTCGCCCGAGGCCCTGCTGCAGCACAAGGGCGACACGCCCCTCTGCAACGACCGTCGGACGATCACCGAGTGGGAGTACTTTGTGCTCGAGCAGGTTCGCTCGGCCAGGGCGCTGCTGCGGGGCGGAAGCGACCGCGGCTGGCTGCGCTGGGCCGAGTGAAGCGCCAGACCGCGGTCTCCCGTCTGACCCAGGCCTGGAGGGGGCCACTTGCCTCGCAGGCATGGGCGAGATATCCGCAAGCAGGCGGGCGAGCAGGCAGGCACATGCGCACGCGACCCAACTCCTGCGCGCCAGACCACACTCGCCATGGAGAGTTCGTGCAGAGCTTCGTTAATTCGTCAAACGGCAAGACAGGTCGACAAGACGGGTGGGGCGCAGGGCCAGCGTCGTTGGACCGAACAGCCGCCGTCATCGCCGGAGGGGTGCGATGACGGTGCTGGGATTTTTGGGAGTGTGAAGGCAGAAGGGGGACCGTGGCAGTGGGGGAAGTCATCGGGCGCGACCTCTGCGTCACAGAAGTCTGCCAGCGACGATGGATATATGGGACGACGGTGTCTATGGGCAAGCGCGAGGGAGGCTTGGGATTGATGCAGGGGTCAAGCATGTCCACCCGGGGCGAAGAGGCGGAAGAGGCTGAAGGTGCGTCGGCCAGCAGGCGAGCGGGAGCGGGGCACCAGTGCAGAAGGCCAAAGGCCTGATGAACGAGGGCCAAAGGGAATCAGAGCGTCTTGACCTCCTCGTCCTTGCCCTCGGCGGCGCGCTGGATGAGCGTCTGCTGCTCGGGCGTGAGGCTCGAGGTGATGGCCTGCCAGACGTCGGTGCGCTGCGTCTGCAGGTTGGCCAGCAGCTCGCGGAAGTGGTCAAACACGGGCACCTTGTCCATGGGCGACTCGTACGACAGCTCCTCGTCGTCGTCCTCGTCCTCGTCGTCTTCGTCGTCGTCATCCTCGAACTCCTCGCCGTTGGCGTGGGCGGTGGCCTGGGCGCGCAGCTTGGCCCGCTCGCGCGCGAGGAGCTCGAGGTACTCGTTTTCCTCGTCGACGACGTCCTTGTCATCGTCGACGTCCTCGTAGTCGCCCTCGTTGGTGGCGCCCGAGGTGTCGTAGTCGGTGGCGCCGCCCTGCGAGTTGAACGACTCGTCGCCCTCTTCGTCGTCGTCGTCTCCCTCATCGTTGAAGGCGTCGATGAGCGCCTTGCGCTTCCTGATGGCATCCGGCAGGCCGTCGAGCTGCGCCGAGAGGGCCACCAGGAGCGCCGGCAGGTTCTGCTGCACCGCGGCGGGCAGCGATGCGGCGTCGAGGGCGAGGATCTGGATAATGGCCGAGGCGGCCACCTTCTTCTCGTGGACGCGGTTGAGCTTGGGCAGCAGCGCCGTGACGGCGTTGAAGAAGCCGACGGTGGCGTTGGACGCCTCGAGCACCTGGAGCGTCAGGGCGGCGTTGTAGTAGAGGGCGTCGAGGATGACAATGGTGCTCCAGCGGCGGACCTCGGCGCCCATCTTGTCGGTCGTGGCCAGGACGGGGAGCACCGTGTTGACAATCGTCGGGACGGCCTCGTCGATGCCGCCCTTGAGGAGCAGAAGGATGATGTCGGCCAGCTTGCACGCGGATACCTGGTCCATGGGGCCCAGCTGGTCGCTCGTCATGCCGACAGTAAACATGTCGACGAGCATGTGCTTGTACTCGGCGCTCTGCATGACGACGTCGGTGCCGTACGAGACGCAGTTGTCGATGGTCGACAGCATCTCGGACAGATAGTCGATGCCGCTCGACTTGAACGACTTGTAGATCAGGCCAAAGATCTGCCACATGCCCGGCGACACGCGCTTCTGGTAGTAGGTCAGGGTGTCGGTGAGCTCGAGGCAGTCGTCGTAGAGCTCGACGCACTCCTTCTCCAGGGTGTACGCGACGATAGGCAGCACGACGGCCTCGAGCTTGTCGAGCATCTCGGGGCGCGACTCGGCCGAGGCGATGATCTGGAAGATGGTGTTGAGGCAGCCCATGGCGGCGAAGAGCTTGTCGTCCTCGTTGGCCTCCATGTTGAGCTCGAGGGTGCCGTCGGGCTCGCGCTCGGATGCCTCGAGGTTCTCGTTGACGAGGCGCATGTAGCTGTTGGCCATCTGCTCGGTCAGCTGGACGCTAAAGGGCAGCAGCTCCTCGCCAAATTGGGCCACGACCTTTTCCTTTGTCGGCGTCAGCACGTCGAGGTCGGTCTCGTCGCTCAGCTTGAGCAGCTCCTGCATCAGGCGCGCGGCGTTGGGCGCCATGGCGGCGTGGACCTCATCGTGGGCGATGAGCGAGCCGATGGCCTCGGCGGCCTGGACGCGCACGGGCAGCTCGGCGTCGCCGATGCAGTCCATTACGCCACGGAAGGCGGCCTCGAGCGTGGCCTCGCTGCTCCACTTCATGCCGTGGCCGTCAAACGACTTGATGAGGTCGTTGGCACGGAAGCGGAGGAAGCGGTGCTCGCTCTTGAGCTCCGGGATGACGTGCTGCGCAAAGAAGCCGTCGAGCATGCCGGCCACCTTTTCGTGGTTGATCATCGTCAGGTCGAGGGCGCGGCACATGTGCAGAGCGCCCTCCTTCTCGCGCGGCGAGCGCTGCGCCGGGTAGGCGTTGACGACCGACGTGATAAACTCGAGCATGGGCATGAAGGAGCTCTTGGTGCGCTTCGAGGCGACCGTCTGGATGAAGGTGGCGGCCGAACCGGACGGCGTGCCGATCTCCTCGAAGGGGTCGAGGTTGGCGCGGACAAAGTCGACCGGGTCGAGCTCCCAGAGCTCGTCGTCCTCGTCGTTGTAGCAGATGCGCGGGTACATGAAGCTGCGGACGAGCTGGTCGACGTGGGGCTTGAGCAGCGCCCAGGTCGACTTGGGCTTGACGCACTCGGTGAAGAACATGCAGAGGAAGTGGACGGCCTTCTTGCTGAGCCAGGCGCCCTGGACGTTGGCCTCGACGAGGCGGAGGTAGGCCTTGAGGATCTCGGGGGCGAAGGTCTGGACAAAGTGCTCGGCAAACGGCTTGTAGTTGTGCATGTCCGACGGCAGCTGCGAGGGGTTGCCGTAGCGGCTAAAGAGGCGGTTGAGCGAGTGGAGCGCCCACTTCTTGGCCTTCCACCAGCTGGCCTCCTCGCGGCCCTCGTCGTCTGCGGGGAGGTTGGCGACGTCAATGTCCTTCTGGACGACATTGAGGAGGAAGGTGCCCCAGGGGACGATGCTCTCGTGCGACTGCTGGTGCTTTGTGAGCTCGGTGTGCATGCTGGTCTTGTAGATCTTGAGGATGAGGTAGAGGATCTCGCCGACCTCGGCCGAGGAAGCGTTGGGCGAAGCGAGGAGGTTGTTGCCGGTCTGGAGGATCTGGGGGAAGGTGGCGGGGGCGAGCTTCTCCATCATGGCGGCGCCGTCGTTCCAGCGGTATGCGCGGACGACCTCGAGGAGGGCTCGGAGGCCGCCGTAGACCTGCTGGGGCTGGTCGCTGGAGAGGAGGGCGACAATCTGGTCCATGAGGTTGGGCCACTGCTCGGGGAAGTCGTAGCGTGCGATGGTGCCGAGCGCGCTGGCGACGTGGACGCGGGTCTGGGCGGGTGCGTCGACGAGGGTGGGGAGGATGCTCGACTTGATGGCGTTGCGGTCCGACTCGGGGATGGGGTTGGCGGACGAGGAGCGGGCCGCCGTCGTCTCCCAGTGCCTTCGGATGCGGTTCTTGGAGTAGATTGCGGCCGCCTGTCGCACGGCGAGGTCGACCTGGGCCGAGGCGACGATCTGGAAGCAGGAGCTGAGCATGCCATCCTGGCCCTCGACCTTTTTCAGCTCGAGCTCGGCGGCCCTGCGGGTGTTGATGTTGGGGTCGAGCGACGACGTGAAGATCTGCACGAGGGCGTCCATCTTGGGCGACAAGTGTGCTTGGGCAGCCGTCTGGTAGGAGGAGGAGGAGAAGGAGGAGGAGGAGGAGGAGGAGGACAAGGTTGCCCGACGGCGGCGGAGAAGGGTGGGGTATAGGGGGTTGAACGGAAGAGCGGAAGGGCGTGTGGCGGGGGCGAAGGGAGAAGAATGGGATGTGATGGGAAGCCACAGAGATCCAATGCGGTTGGGTGGCGGCCGGAAGGGAAGGCAAGAAAGGGAGCTCGCTCTCTGTGGCTTGCTTGCTCGCTCGGCCGCGGGTGCGTTTCTGTGGATTTTTCTTCCCTCTTTCCAAGCAAAGGTGGGAAAGTGACACACGTACGGCCGCACGCGCAGGGGCGGGGCGGGGGGAGCTCAGTGCTTGGAAAAGGCGAAAAAATTTGCAATTCCAAAAAATCAAGAAGCAAGCAAGCAGAGAGACGCACGGACGGGCCTGCGTCGACGCAGAGGGGTGACCAGGCTAGGAGGCAGCCCCTTTGCTTGTTCTTCTCGCGTTTGGGCCACCCTCGCCTTGGACGAGACCAACACCTGGCCTGGGCTGGGCTGCCCTGTCCGACTTCCGCGCCTCGGTTTGCCTGGCCGCCCTTGCAGCCTGTTGCTCCACATGTCATGCTGTTGACCACTTGACAGCCGCCCCCCGAAGCCCATCTTTGGTCGGGCCGACTCGGACCCCACCTCTTCTGACCTCGACCGGCCTGCTTGCCTTTCATCTTCTCGCCACCACCACCATCGTCTCCGCTTCCATCCGTAGTCACTCCTCACCGCACTCCATGCGCGCACGGTGATACCCAGCAGCCACACCGCAAGCGTGCCGCCGGGCAAGGCAACATGCCTCCCGCACAGGGCGCATCATCAAAGGGCCGATCCAAGCAGCCCAAGCTCAGCTTCGCCTCAACCTCGAGCTCAGCAAACTCCCGCCCGCTCAGCGCGACCCCGTCCTTCTCCTTCACCAAGCCTGCATCCTCGAGATCCGAGCACTCGCCAAGCCCGGCGCCTCTGCCCCTCCAGCACGCCTCGGCCAAAGGCAAGCACAAGCAGCACGAGCCCGCAGCCATCGACCCAGAAGACCTCGGAAGCCACCAGGAGCCCACGTCGTCTCTCTGGTGCGACAAACACTCCCCCTCTAGCCTCGCGGAGCTTTCCGTACACAAGCAAAAGGTGCAAGATGTTCAGGGTTGGCTCAGAGATGCCCTGAGCGGAAACCCGAGGCTGGCAAAATACCGCGTGGGTGTCCGTCGCCGCTGTCTACGCCTGGCCGCAATTCACGCACTTGCCAGACCCCGCTCTGATCTCAAAATGCTGACTCTCCGCCTGCTCGCACCGCCTGCAGCGGATCCTCGTTCTCACCGGCCCGGCCGGCTCCGGCAAGACCGCCACCATAAAGGCCCTCGCCGCTCCCTCTGAGCTCGACTTCGAGATCCTCGAATGGAACACCCAAACGTCGCTCACCAGCGAGCCGTTCGCATCGGCTCGTGAGCGTCCGCATATCCGACACATGCACATGATGCGATACTCCTTCACTGCTGACCTTTCGTCCCTCGTCACGTACAGCAAATTCCGCGGAGCGCTTCTCGGACTTTCTGGCACGTGCTGGCCGGTACTCCTCCTTGTCCCTGTCGGCCGCCGGGCCATCTGCTTCACAGTCATCCTCGCAGGGTCGCCTGTCGTCTACTCCTCAGTCTTCGCAGACATCAACTCGAAGAATCATTCTGGTCGAGGACCTGCCAAACGTCCATCACCAACCGACCAAGGCTGCGTTCAACGCTGCGCTGGAACTCTTCTTGGCCAAGGCGCTTCCGGTCGCCTCGCCGGCGCAGGGCTCATCAGAGGTCGTTAACTGTCCCATCGTACTCATCATTTCGGAGAGCACGCCGAGGGAGGACGATGAACGCTGGGCGGGCGAGTCGAGCGGCGGAGGCTGGCGAGATCGACTCGGCGCGATCATGGACGCGCGCACCGCCCTGGACGAGAGTGTTCGCAGGAGCCCGGCGGTCAGCGAGATTCGGTGAGCAGCAGCCGTCATCGCCGCCATCGGTGTCAGGTCCGATGCGGGCTTCCTGGCGCGAGCCACTCGCTTACGTTGCATTCTCTTGTCTCGGTGCAGCTTCAATCCCGTGGCGCCCACCATCTTGCTCAAGGGCCTGCGACGCATTGTGGATCTTGAGTTCCCTGCGCAGCAGTCGACAAGGTCGGCAAAGTCGAGATCGCGCAGCGCCGCCACCGCCGACGAGCCTCCGGGGCGACCGAGCATGCAAACGGTGCAGGCTGTGGCCGACAGTGGAACGGGGGACATTCGAGCCGCTGTCAACTGCCTGCAGTTTCTGTGCGGCATCCAGACGCCAGAGGCAGGAGCAAAGCGCGACGCGGCAGGCCGTCGAAAACCAGCATCTCGCACCTCCGCCAAGTCGAGACTGGCAGCGAGGCAGCTGGCGCTCATCTCCGGGCGAGAATCGTCCCTGGCCCTGTTCCACGCTGTCGGTCGAGTGCTGTACAACAAGCGTGAGTGGCCCCTGCCTGGATCCGCCGACCACTTCCCCATCTGCTGACATTGCGTCTACGTTGCTCATGTCTCTGACAGGCTTCGGGGACCCCGGCCAGGAAGCCGAAGAGCAGAAGCTGCGCAAGAAGGCAGCCGCCGCAACTGGGCCCGACCTGTCGGACGACGAATTCGACGAGCACGAGGCAGAGCTGTCGGCGTTGCGAGAGCGCCTCAACAGAGCGGGACGTGCTCTGACGGGTGTTGGAACGAGCGATTCAGAGCAGCGGAAGAGCTCATATGAGATGCCATCTCACTATGCTCCGCTGCAGAGGCGAGAGAGCCGCGTCGACGTGCAGGTGAGAGGCTCGAGCGACGCGGATGCGCTCGCCACAAACGCCGGACGACCGTGCGCTAACCAGGGGCGAGCTTTTGTTGATCCGCGTACAGGACCTCTGGACGGACCTGCCGGTCGACCCGTCGATGTTTCAGCTCTACCTTCACCAGAACTATACCGCCTTTACGACGGATATCGAGCAGTGCTGCGAGATCGCATCCGGCATCAGCGACGCAGACTCGATCCGCTGCACTCGTGAAGAGGTGAGCATATGGCCGTGTCACTGGTTTCAATGCCCATTGTGGGTTCCGCTGACGCGCCTGTGCGGACATGCTTGCACGCACAACGCCATAGTACCGGCACGCTGCTTTGCTGTCGCACTACGGCTTCCTGGTGACGGTGCAATCGACGCTGCTGCACCTGCCGTCTCCCGTGCCGCGCCGGAACCAGAAGCTGGGCAAGGCGGCTTTCTGGGAGGTACGCAACAAGACGCGCGAGATGGACGACCTGGTGGATGATGCCAAGCAGTACCTGGCCGAGGGCTTTGGAGGGCTGGACCCGCTCAAGAGGCAGACGAGCAGCTTTGGTCGCGGAGCCGGGTTCCTTTCGACGGCCGACGATCTACTCGACGCCAACCGCAGCGACGCTGGCTTGGGCCAGGAGGGGCACAGCTCGCTCATGAGAGCCGACCGCCTGACGCTGGCGACCGAGATAGTGCCGTTGCTGGTCAAGGTGCAAGGCGGCGCTGGTGAGTTTCGGAACCGGCTGTTCGACGTGGTATCCGACGAGCCCTGGTCTGCGCCTTCCCTGACATGCCCTTTCCCCTCTCTCTTTAATGGACGTCCGCTGCAAGCAGGGGCTAACGAGGAAAGGAGCCGCAGGCTGCCAGACTGCTTTGCGCGGATCGCGCGGATGCGATTCGAGTGGGCGGGCATTTCGGACACGGCGGAGCGCAATCTCGAGGAGCACGAGATTGAGCATCGCGTAGAGGAGCCTGCGGGCGAAGACGACATTGGCCCGCCGCCGCCGTCGTCTCAGCAACGTGTTGCGATGCCAGCGGACGAGGGCCTCGGCGGATGGCAACCCGACCAGGTGGCGGCGTTGACTGGAGGTGAGGAGGCAGAAGGCGAGCGCCTCTACCTGTCGGATGACGATATCGAGGAGTACTCGTAACGTGGCGGCCCGCGCAGCAATCGACCTACTGTAGCCTGCGCTGATCGTGACGGCGGCAGGGCCAGCTGCGGAACGGAGCGAAGAGGCTCAACGTGGGGGCCACCGGCCATGACGAGCGTGGGCGAGGAGGAATGGACCGGCCGGTCCCCGGTTCGCCGTCGTCCTGGACAGCGCAGTGGCGCGCCCATATTATTGCTGGAGCCGTGGCAGGCCGACGCCGGTACGTTACGCTGTTTGTTTCGCCCGCAAAAGCGGGGACTGGTGGGGGGCAGCGAGCATGAGAGATCCCCGCAATTTCCTCGTTTGGCGGGCCGCAACCAAGTCGCCCCCCTCACCGGTGACTCTGCCTCGCCTCTGCACACGCACTACGGCAATCTCGCGCGCTAGGCAAAGGGGCGCACCGAGCTTCGACCGCCCTTTGTCCTCCATGTGTGGCATGCTGATACGGGCGTAGGCACACACGCTGCCCTGGTCATGCCGCCTTTCCTTGCTTGCCAACTACCGTAGCGCCTGCTGCTAGACGAGGGTCGGCTGCCTCTCGCCTCGGCGGTTTCGCCTGCTACGTACCTACCCATGCACCATCGTCCTGGCCTGGCCGCACCGCCCGGCCGTTGCCACCTCGTCTTGCTGCCCCGACTCGAGCAGTGGGGAAAACGAGACTCGCTGCGCTGCAACACCTGTACTTACATACGAACCCCTAGGGCTAGCTACCTATCCGAGCAGCCCCGGACGAAATGACTTGGCGAACAAGGGATGAATCGATCACAGAAGCGGTGCTACCCGAAAGACGATCAGAACGTGGCATGCCGGCCTCCATTCTCATCGTCGGATCCCAGGCAACCGGCCGTTGCTCGCTACTGCGGCCTGCTCGCTCGCCTCTCGTCGTCGCCTCGCCTCGTGTAAGGTGCAGCAACCTGGCACCTCTGACGACCTGGACGGCGAGGCAAGCCCACCTCCAATGGTGACCAGCGAGAGCATGCCTATAAAGGTAGAGCATCCCCACTTGCTCATGCACTACGTTCTGAGCCCGTCCCCCAATCTACGCCCCACCAATCCTCTGTCCTCTGAAACTTTGGACACGCCATCATGAAGCTGGCACCCACCTCGTTCGTGCTCTTGGCCGTCTCGCTGCCCGCCGCGCTGGCCACGCCGGCGCTCGACTCGCGCAGCAGGCACAAGGCCAACGCGGTCCGAGCCAACGACTTTATCCGCGTCGACGGGATGCGGCTCAAGGACAGCCACGGCGAGCCGCACTACCTCACGGGCATGAACTACTGGGCCTGTATGAACCTGGCCGCCGACGACAGCCTCGGCGGCGAGCATGCGCGCTTCATCAAGGAGCTCGACCAGATGGCCGCCAAGGGCATCAACCACCTGCGCATCATGGCCAGCTCCGAGGGCAATCCGGAGCCGCAGCCCTTCCGCATGTCGCCGGCGCTCCAAAAGGCGCCGATGCAGTACGAGGAGGGCATCTTTGTCGGCCTCGACCGCTGCCTCGCCGAGATGGCCAAGCGCGGCATGCGGGCCACCATGACGCTCAACGACCAGTGGCAGTGGTCCGGCGGCTTCGCCCAGTACATGTCCTGGGTCAACAACAACGAGCCCATCTCCTACCCGCCCTCGTGGAACCTCACCGCGCCTCCCCAGCGCGGCGAAGGCAAGACGGGCTGGGGCAACTACACGACGACGGGCAGCTTCAGCGACTACGTCACCTACGGAAACCAGATCTACACCAACCAAAAGGCCGAGCAGATCTACAAGAAGCACATCGAGACGGTCCTCAACCGCCGCAACACGGTCAACGGCCGCCTCTACAAGGACGACGCCACCATCATGACCTGGCAGCTCGCAAACGAGCCCCAGCCCGCCAACCCCTCGTCGTACCTGGGCCCCTATAGCCTCGAGTACCCGCCAAACGAGCAGGACCCGCTGATCCCCTGGGTCGACCGCATCTCCAAGTTTATCAAGAAGCGCGCCCCGCGCCAGCTCATCAGCGTCGGCTTCGAGGGAAAGCAGGGAGAGTGGTTCTGGAAAAAGGTGCACGAGCCCGAGGCGGTCGACTACGTGAGTGGCGCTGTTGCGACGCCGTCCCCGGCCGGCCGGCCAAGGATGCTGTTCCAGCGCCTGCCCGCTGTCGAGTTCTGTCGCTGACCTCATACCTCTTCTCCGGGGTCGCTCCCTCCCTCTAATCTCATTTGCTGCGCAGGGCACTACCCACGCCTGGGTGCAGAACTGGGGCATCTACAACATGACAGACGCCAGCCAGCAGAACCTGGACAAGGCCAAGAGCTTCGTCGACGAATTCATCGCCAACTCGTCGCGCTGGGCCGCCGATATCAAGAAGCCCGTGCTGCTCGAGGAGGTGAGTGGTCGCGCCGAGACAGTCGGGAGACCTACGGCATGAGAAGAGATCGGTCGAGCCACAGGCACTGATGCGATCCCAAACATCCGCCTTCATCGCCTGCCCTCCCCCCTCCCCTTTGCAGTTCGGCATGGCGCGAGACAACTGGCAGAACGACGAGTCCAAGGGCGAGTACCTGTACGCGTCCAAGGCGACGACGACGCACAAGGACGACTATTTTGAACACCTCATCGGCCTCGTCGTCGCCGACTACGAGCGCGGCGGAGCCTACATCGGTTCGGCGCCTTGGGCCTACGGCGGCATCTACCGCCCCGAGACGCAGGTGGCCAACGAGTTTGGCATGGTCTTGGCCGGTGATCCGCCCCACGAGTCGCCCGGCTGGTACGACCTCTACGACACTGACGAGGCTATGAACATTGTCGAGAGGCAGAAGCGCCGGGTCGACAAGTTCCACCAGAAGCAGTGCGGGGGCAAGCAGGGTGGCGGTAAGCCGCAGTGAGGGGCGAGGTGGGCGGAGCCGTGATGAACAGGCCGAGACTTTGATGAAGGCATGTATTCGTTACTCGATCCCGTCTTGCTGCAACGTGGATCCCCTTGGTCAAAGGCGACGTGCCGAAGGTAGAGATTGGGAGACCGGACACCTACCCTGCGGAGTAGACAGCGGCGCCACACGGGTAGCTCCATGGTATGCTCGTCCGTTTGCTGTGCCGGCCCCTGTGCGAGGTGAGATCTCAACCAGCGCTTGTACGTCCCCCTCATTCTTGCAGCCTCAACTCGGTCAGAGAGGCGAGGTTGCTGAATCTGAGGAGACGCCAAAGCTGGCCAAGCAGTTGAAGGGTCAGGGAGCAGCAGCGAGGATGAGGCGGAAGTTTACGTCCCTCGACGAGCTAAGGACGTAGCGGGCACACGGTCGTAGGTGTCATTCGACATGGACGGAGAGAAAGAAGTTTGCTTTGGTTCGGATACGGGCGAGCTGGATGAGCGACCATCGAGCTCGCCCTTTGCGGTCTACTACTAACGATGACGAGAACGAGATGGCTAGTAATACATGGTCCAGCTCCCCTCCGGATCCATTAGGAGACGTCGAGGAGCCAGCCGGGGTTGATCCGCAAGGCTGCAGAGGAGGACCTCAGTGCAGCCGAGTCGGACGGCATAATGTGTCGGGTTGAGAGGAGGAGAACAAGGTGTCGGTCTTCATAATGTGCTTGATGAGCATAGTGTAAGAAGCGGAACGAGAACCTTGATGTGGGTTTAAGCTGTGATATCGAGGTCGGTGTTGTCGAGATGGTGAAAGGTGGAGATCGAGACTAGCGCAAGGGCCACGACGCGGAAAGGGAGACGCTAAGACATGCAGGGACACTAGGACGGACCGAATGGGCGAGGTCATGCGGCAACAGCCTGGGCGGACTGGGGAACGCCGGCAGCGAGGTTGACCGCCTTGCCGTTGGGGACGTCCTTCTTCTGCTGGATGGCGGCGGCCTCGCGCTTCTTCTCCTTGAGGAGCTGCTCGGGGTCAGCGCCGAGGTCACCGGCATCGGCGTAGGCGTCGAGGCCGACACCATTGCCGCGGCCAATCTGTTGGACGTAGCTCTTGTGGATGTCGAGCACCTTGACAAACTCCTCGTCGCTGATGTCGTTGAGGAAGACGCACTTGCCCATCGTCTTGGGGACGACGAAGCGCTGGAGGCCGTCACGGGTCTTCTTGATGGCCTCGTTGGCCTCGAGGAGCAGCTCGGGGGTGAGCATGGGGTGGTCGACCGTGAGACCGATGCGGCCGGCAAGGCCGAACCACTCGTCGCGCTCCTCGGCCGAGATCAGGCCACGGTGGTGGGCAAGGGTGACGCAGTAGGCCATGTCGGTGCAGACGGCGTGGCCGTGCCTGAGCGGGGGGAAGGGAGCCAGCTCGAGGGTGGGCGAGATGCCGTGTCCGTTGGCAATGATGCGGTCCAGGCCAATCTCGTGCAGGTTGGGACTCTCGAGGTCGAGCATGAGCTTGATGGCGTTGCGGCAGATGGTGTCGGCAGCCTCCTTGAGCTCCTTGGCACCGGGGCCGGTGGCGTTACGGCCGTAGGCGGTGTTGACGAGGTCCTCGCCGTACTTGACGAGCATCTTCCAGGTGTGCGGGTCGGCGCAGTGGAGGATCTTGACGAGCTCGGCGGTACCGTTGCGGGTCTGGCCGATGGGGAGCGTCTTGAGGAAGTCAAAGTCGAGGAAGGTGTGCATGGGGGCGTGGTAGGCACCCAGGCGGTTCTTGAGCTTCTTGTGGTTGATGCCGACCTTGATCGAGATGGCGGCGTCGATCAGAGCAATGAGGGTAGTGCCGACGCGGACGTAGTTGGTGCTGCGGCGGTACGAGGCGCACGCGTAGCCAACGACGTCCGAGGCGAGACCACCGCCGACGACGAGGACGGGCTCCTTGCGGATCAGACCGAACGAGTCCATGGCGTCGACAAACGAGAGCATGGTGTCCATGGTCTTGTGCAGCTCGCCGCCCTTGAAAACGTGAAGGGTGGGCTTAATGTTGTGGGAGCCGAAGTAGGCGTTGATGGCGGAGCCGTAGAGCTCGTTGAGGTTCTCGTCGAGGATGACGAGGACGCGTCCCCACTTCTGGAAGTAGGTAGCGAGGTCCTCCTTCTGCTGGTCGAAGACGTTGTCGACGAAGCTGTAGGTGTAGTTGAGGTCCTCCTTGCCCTTGACGTGGTAGCCGGGGCCAGTGGCGTTCCTGGTCGCGGGGACCTCGGAAACGATGGCGTTCATGTCCGAAGACGCAGCACCTCCGCAGCAAGCCATTGTGAATAGGTCGTGAGGGTGGGGAAGAGGGGGGTTGAAACCGGTGCGTGGGAGTTGTGGGTGGGAGAGAGATCAAGCGAAGTTCCGTTGAAGGACGTGCGAGATATGGAAGCGTTCGTGAGAAGAGAAACGTGAATCGTCGATGGGTTGGTTTGTGAGGGGGAAGAGAGACGTAGGATGGAAGATGTTGACAGGGTTCTTATACCTTGAAGTCCGGTACCCTCCGCCGCTGCGGACGTAGGTATCGCGCTACGGATTGGGACGCAGATGAGGCAAGCGGCGGAGGGCAACGGGGGCTTTGGTGAGATTGTCACGCTGTGCTCCAGTGCCCCGACGGATGGACAGACGAGCAGCCTGGACGAGGAGCTACAGTACCGACCCTGATCTGAAAGTGGTGGCCGCCTGTGCAGAGCACCTGCCTGCTGCCTGCCTGCCTGCCTGCCTGCCTGCCTGCATGCTCCCTTGCCGCGCCGAGTTGAAGCCCAGGACTGGGGAGAGGGGAAATGGGGGCGTGCGAGGAGAGAGAGTGGGTGTGAGAGGCGGGATCGGCGACAGCGAGGCGGCAGTGCGCAAGTCGTGATGGCGAATACGGCCGTTCTTCTCGCCCTGCTCGCCGGCTGCCTCTGCGGTTGCCGGAGGTGGTGACATGGCCCATGCACTCTGCCGGGTTGGGGCAGAAGGGGAAGGGGGCTCTGCTTACCTTTGCAAGCATGGGCACACGGGCTAATGTGCCTTGTAGTGGCAGCCATTGTGCGGCAGGAGGAGGGGCGGACGGCGGGGACGCGATGCAGCGGTAGAGAATAGGGAAGGGTCGTGGACGAGCGTGGAGCGGATGTGGCCGTAGTTTTCCCCCTCCCCCAGATGCACTGTTCGACTTTGGGCCCTGCTCGCTGGCTTGGCTCGACCGTTCTGGCTGGCCCCGGCTGGCTGGCGGCCCCCCGAGACCCCGGAACGTTTCCTGGGTGCGCTTGGCTCGTCTCGGCAAATATTGGGTCCTGCAATGCGCGATCGGACCTCCCGCCCGGTTGGCAGGCAAGGCAGGCTAGGGACCAGAAAGGGCCCACATCAAGCCAGCAGGAAGCCGGACTGCTGCCGTTGTAAGCACTTCAGTTGATATAGGTAAGGTAGAAGGCAAAGAGCAGAGGTTGTGGTCACTCGCTGGTTCGTCATGACCGACGGTCCGACCGACCGACCGACCTTCCTTCTGGAGACGCTCTGGCCTGCCTTCTGGCCGTCGAGCGGGCGGCGCAAGGTGGAGGGAGGGGCGTGCGGAGCGCCTGGCATGCTCAGCTCGAGCGAGCGACGGCGTTGCGCCGGGGACGTTCCGGGAGCGCGAGCGGGTCACTTCACAGTACAGTACACTCTCTGGCTGCAAGGCGCTGGACTCGTAGGCAGCTCGTCAGCTGCGACGATGGGGCGGTGCGGGTGCAATTGCGCCCCCAGGCGGCGACGGTTGCCTCCGCTCCGAAAAGTGTCGATGAAACGCCCAGCGAGTGCTCCACCCCCGTTCGCCACTCGATCCAGCCCTTTCTCGCCGCTAGTCCGGTGGCGCCGTGCCTTTGGCATGCCTCACGCTCGCATTGACATCGTCTGCGGTGGCTCGAAGGGCAACAGCGACGTATACACGGCTGCTACCTAACTACCTGCCAAAATACCGGTGGCCTTGAGTGGAAAGGGCGATCCTCGTCAGCGCCGGCGTTGGTACCAGAGTGGGCGCACAGACAATTTGGGGCTCAGGCGAAGATCGCCAAGGGGGGCACGTTTCGGCTCCACCCGATCGGCCGGCGCCTCTTTCGGCGACGCCGTCGTCGAGACCCTCTCGCAAGGCGGGGGGTTGGATGTTGTAAGAAGTGCGGGAAAAAAGACAAGCCATAGATCGACCTGGCCCTTGCCTCTGTGCAATCAACTTGCCGTACAGAACCGTATCGTACCGTACATACAGTACTCTATCTGTATCCTTCAACCTCGCCCCCTCAGTTGAGGCCTAGTCAGTCATGGTCTAAGTACCTGTACATACGGGACGTGCCTCGAGCTCTGAGAAAGTCGCCGGCCGCTGCCGTTTCCTGAGATTCCCATCTCCTGCGTGTTGCACAGTCCACCGTGCGTGCGCAGAAAACCAGCATTCGTTGAGGCCAGGAAGTATCGCGCAACACACATATGTACGTCTGTAGTCGCCCCTCCCTCTGCGCTCTGCGCTCGGCAAGGGGCTCGCCAGACGCAGCATGCCAGCGCTTGTGTATCTACTCGAGACGTTTGATGAGACCTTTCTGCCGCGTGAATCCAGCTCCTTGGACCACCCAAGAGGCAGGTCGGTTGGCCGTAGGTCTTGTACCCAGCCCCACGCTCGCCCTCTCTCAGACACGGAGACATCGCTGATCAGTCATGAAGCACCGGACGTGGGCCCTTAATCCCTGGAGCATGTCTGCCGCTTCGCCTCTCACGTTGGACAGCGGGCGCAGCTTGCTTTTTGAGCTCCAAAGATCCGCAACGCCACACGTACTGTACAATCGTCAAGCGGAGCATCTCGTCCCTGCCCAAGTACATACCGTACCCACCTTACCATACGGAACCTGCTTCGGCCGCCAAGGCATGCTTGGGCTTTTACATACAGTAGGCGGGTGCCCCATCGCACCTTTCGTCATACGGTACAGGTGAGTGGGCAGAGGCTGTTGACCGAGGCCCGGACAGGTGCAGAGTGCGTGTGCCCGAACGAGCAAGATGCTGGCGGAGTTGTGCTCAAGGCTTGGCTAGCCGACAGGCACCAGCCAACAGAGTCCACTGGCTGGGTCCACCTACGGCTTCTTGCGTGATCAGAACTTGGCGTACTGGTATGTAGCCGTTGCCGTATGCTGCAACGCACGGGTGAAAGCTGCTGCGCGAGTAGCCCCCCTTGCTCCTTGCTCCTCATCGGTTGGCTGCCGACGAGGCGACACGTCGTCGGTTGGGATCATGCCCTGGAATCACGAACGGGCCGGGCAGGGCACGCAGGTCGGCTGCCCATCACTTTGCGCATCACACAAATCCGTGCCGTCTTGATATCCGTCTGCCGGTTGTCTTCGTCTGCGCAAAGGAGGCTCGGACGCCGGGTCCGCCCGATATTTGCGATAGCTCGTCCGTTGGACAGACCGTCGTAGTTACGTAGGCACTCGACTCTCGACTCTCTGCGGCGAAGGCGACCTTTGCACGAGAGCTCAGCAGCGCTGCCTCCACATGTACCGATGGACGATGGAGGGCGTGGCAGGACGACAGCGCGCGGCAACGTATGTACCTACATGTCCGTCGTCTGGTGGCGGTTGGACGGGACATGGACCCTACAGCCCGGCAGCAACATCTGCACGAGGGGTCCATATTGACTCACGCTTGCAGGCTTCGATGACGACCTGCATCTGGACGACAAAGCAAGCAAGCAAGGGTCCTCGTCGTTCATCACCTCAGCAGGCATGGAGGTCGGACAGCCCAGAGTCCGGAGGGGCCTACCGTACCGTTGCCTGCCAGGTCCGACACTCCGCTGCAACCGCATGCCGGAAGCACCTCTGTCGCCGACACCCGTAGCTCGTGGACGTGCGGGGCAAGAGACGCACAGACCACATATTTCCTCGTTTGCCGTTCCGCGGGCTGGCCGCCCGGCCTTTGCTGCCTCGTGCCGCGCACCTACGGGTAGCGCAGCGCATGTGCTTTTCTTGATGACTGAGGAGCGCACCTGCTCCTTCCCCCTCTCCTCGGCCCCCCTTGCTTGAGGGCCGCCAGGGCCACTCTGCGGCACATGCGAAGCAAGCATGTCATCGCTACCGCTCGAAATGCGGGCGTTTTGGGCCTTTCCACAAACCGTAGATAGGGGCAGTGGACATGACATGACAGGACGGCAAAAGTCTGGCCTCTTCGTCGTCGTATGGGCGGACAGGAGCGGAAGAGGTACGTACGGCGGGTCGAGGCGAGGCCAGCGGGAAGGCAGACCGGTCAGGCCGGACGGGAGCGAAAGCCGTCTGAAGCGGGATAGGCCTGCCTGCCAGGCAGGCCAGTCGGGCTCGACACGTGAACGAGGAACGATCTTGCCCCTCGAGGCACCGATCTGTCACCTGCTGCCGTCGAAGAACGGAAAAAGGGTCGTCGTCCGACAGCGCGGCGCCTCCCGATCCGCAGAAGCGGACAGCTTACAGAGGACCGTACCGCCGACTGCACGCTTGCCTCAGACGTCGAAGTACTTCGATCCCTAGACGAGGCGCTTGTCGACGACAGCCGGCAGACACGGCGATCCCGTCCGTGGGTCCCGTCCTACGTACCCCAGGTACTGTAGGCTGCTGCAGCAGGAACGCATCTCGCCGCTAAGAAGCAAGCTACAGTAGTAGGACGTAGGGGGTTGGGCTTCGATGGGGCGCACGGTCAGGTCATCGACGTGGAGCTCGGCGCAGCGGACTGGCCTGAGCGCGGGCATGCCTGCTTGGATAAGCCAGCCCCTCTGGACCCTGCATCGCCCGTCGACCCGTCGCTCTTCCGCAACTCTGGGTGCTGGGTGCCATGCGCGTACATACGTTCACCGGCGTCGACCCGCTCGCTCCGTTTTCGACCTTTTTTCCTCGACGTTTTTCGCACCTTTTCCCCCAAGCAACGGCACGGACAAGTACCGGTAGCTATTCGTGGATCGTCCTTGCCATTTTACATAACCTCCTTCGGGGCAAGGGACCACACTGCTGTGACCGTCGCAGAGTCCCTTGCCGGCTTCGCCTTGCTCCTCGTCCACAGCTCAGCGCGAGCAGAGCTCTGCGCACCAAGCTCAAGATCGCAGGCCGGCGACTGCATCACGGCGATCCAGGAAATGGGGCTGCTTTCATATGTCCGTCGATGACAGACTGCGTCTATCGCACAGCTCTTCCTCTGGTCAGCTGCAGATTATGAGAGATGATGAGGAAGCTTGGTCCTGGCGAAGCCGGCGTGGGGGCGGGTGCGGATCGAGAAGCTCGTCTTTAGACTCGCGCTCGACAATGGATTCAGGGCGACACGTCGATTATGCGACGTCGCTCAAGCACACGCTCCGTAACGGCCCATACCGATACTACCAGGGGCTTCCAGGTGTTCAGTTATCAATTACTTCCCACGGGGCTCGAGTCGCCCTCTTGCCGTTCAGCAGCAAACATGTCAAAGTTCAGGAGCGGGTCTGCCCACAGTGAGTGGATTGAAAGGGACGTTCAAGACGCTGAAACGATCCCAAGACGCTGGCGAACGCGCCGCAGCCCAATGTTAAAAGGTTAAAAATGTGGCACATGGTTCGGCCATTACCCTTTCTCTCCGACGCTGACATCTCGTAGCGGCGGCTTGGAGCGATTACAGGACCGGTATCGGGAGACCGGCCCTCTCACACACAAGTTGTCCGACAACCCAGGTCGGAAGCCGGCTTCGCGACGCAGGGAGGCGCCTCGAGGAAAGCGATTCCGTCCTCCATGCTGGCCGCGACGAGCCCACTTCTGATCGCATATCGGCGACCACCTCTACAGGTGCTGTTAGAGGAGACAGAGATTTTGCTGGGGCGCCATCGGCTGCACATGCTCCGTGTATCATCCCCAAAAGAGTCAGGTCCGTCATTCGTGTCGAGGCAGCCTGCCTCGGACAGATAAGCGCCAGCACGCGAGCAATATTATGTTCTTTGCCGGACGAGGTAGCCCATATTGTTGTACGTGGACAGGATCTTGCCTTTTCGGGAGTGTTCTCGACATCCACGATCTCCTTGATCTCAACACGAGGTGCGCTCTTCTTGTTAGCCTTGTCCCCTCCTCCTCCTGACGGCGAGAACAGGAGGTCGGGCATTGCTCCATCCCTACTGCCAGGCGGACCGCACTCCATCCAAAAGCTTGGCGTGAGATGCTCTGCCGGATTCGCATGTGTTGGCTGCCGCGCGAGCCATCCCAGGGTCGGAGGCCGACATCTAGGAGGCCATGTCAATGAGGACACCACATCTGAACCTCGATCGGCTCCTGCCCATGCCGCTGTCTGCCTGTCCACGCTCTTGCCAGCCGACGAGTCCATCCAGGCCCGGGCGCAGCGCTCTGTGAAGGCAGAACGGTCATCTTCTTGACAGACCCGGTCGTGCGGCTACCGAGGGACCGGGACGGGCTTCGGGAAGGGCACGTCGAGGAAGAGAGAAAGGGTCGAGGGATTCCTGCCCAAACAAGATGCCAGGCACCGGAAATGAAACCTGGACTCGCCCCCGTGTTCCGTCTTTGCCCCCTTTTCCGTTCCGCTCCCATCGCTTGGTCCCCGTCTCGTAAGCCTACCTGTTGCATCTTTGTATCAACGCCGTGTTTGTCGAACGGCATGTGATGTAGGAGGTGTCGATTGTTCTATCGGACCTGCCCTGTCCGTCATGGAAGTGTGGGATGCCAGGACTCGCGTCCGAAAGGGAAGAACGAGAGCCCTTGAGACCCATAGCACGACGACGCCTTGCGCGCGCATCGACGGACCTGTATGGCGACATCGGAGATAGTTGCATTAAGTTTCGTCTCGACGAGATGAGAGAAGGCTCGAGGCAGAACAGAGCAGTAACGAACACGTATCGAGGATTGAGCGGCCGTGGTCGCTCGCACGGGGCCAAAATGACCAGCTCAGCCTTTCGCGCGATCCCATGTATCCAGCTACCCACGCCAAAGCTTTGTTTGTTGGGGCGTAGCTTTGTTTGTTCCTCGATCGACAGGGGTTTAACGCCTCTTTGCCTCGCCCAGGGGCTATCAGTGCGCCACCACCTCCTGTGACGGCCGACTCCACCCCATCCAGACCCATCGTGGCGCAAGGCGAGGTGTCAGTGTACCAACAGATTGGTACGCACCAGACCTTGTTGCTCGTTCCGATGTTCCGGTACAGTTTCATACGTCAAGGAGGCGCCGGTCCGCCCGGTGCGTCGAGCGTGCCATTGAGACCCGCCACGGATCCAGTCTCTACCAAGATTCCATAGCACAAAGAAGGGATCGAAGGATAAATAGAGCTCGATGCTCACCGGGCCGTCCCGTCGACGTTGGACGCGGCCGCTATCCTGCACGGCCGTGTCGCCATCCAGACGACATCGAGGGCCTCTGCAGACGCCCAACTATCTCGTGCGAGAAAATGAAGGCGCGAGTGGCGTGGCCTTCAGTGATGTGCTAGGCTGGCTCGTGCAGCGAAGAAAGTGCGGTGGGGGGACAGGTCAAGGGGCCAGCAGCCGAGCTCTCCACTCGGCAAGGCCCCCCCGCATCTTCAACCCACCGCCATCATCTTCCCGTCCACTCTGCTCTGTACTCGTATCGCAACGCAGACACACTCACAAGCATGTCGGCATCTACAACTACGGTCACACGGCCGCTCTCGGCATACAGCCTCAACTATCCTGGCGCTTTTACGTCGTCCTCAAAGTGAGCTTCCAGCCGGCGCATTGCTTCGACTCGGTCCGCCAACTACTGGTTTTCCGGCGTCGCTGGTGCTGTCGAGCTCACCCTCTCGTCCCTGCCTTTCCGAGAACCTCCAGATCCAAGGCGGTCGAAGCCGCTGATCCGCCTGGCTTCATCGATCCTGATGCGGTGCAGAAGGTGCGTACCCCTCTGCACGCATCGACCGGTTTAGCAGAAACACAGCCGCCGCTGTTTGACTCACATCCTCGACTGCTTCCGCACTCCTTTTCTGTCCGACTCTTTGCATCCCACAGCGTCAGAGCAAGGCCAAGGCAAGCGACGCAGTGGCGGACCGGGCGGACCCCTCGGCGCTCAAGATGGCCAAGGCGTGGGAGCTGGCCTACTCGCCCGCTAAGTCCCTGCCGATGAACGCCATCATGCTCTACATGAGCGGAGGCGGCGTTCAGATCTTTAGCATGATGGCCGTCGGGATGCTCATCACCGGTCCCATCAAGGGCGTCAGCGGCATGAACACTGGTTCGTACCGTCTCTCCTCACCCTCCAGTCCCCTGATTCTGATGCTGGCATGGCTGGCTCACAGCGCTGACACCAACCCTGTCTGCACTGGCCCCCCTTGCACGGCCGCAGCGTTTGCAAGGTACGCCTCGCCAAGCCACTCGCTGCTGCTGCCCAAGGCCGTCTTCATCCTCTGCCAGCTGGCGGCCGTCGCCTTGGGACTGTACAAGTGCTGGAGCATGGGTCTCCTCCCAACAGAGAGCAGCGACTGGCTCGCATGGAGGGAGCCAAGAGAAGTGAGTCCAACGTCTGGATGGAGACACCTGCTCGAGGGCTGCAGAGCCTTGACACTGACCTGACCATCGCCCTCCGGTCTCTACCCCTCTCCGCGATCGCAGCCCCTGGAGTTCACCCCGATTCGACCCTGGTAGATGCCTGGACACCACGGCAACGACACGGGGCGCAGGCAGGATTTCTACGCTTCCTTGGGAGATATGGTAATGATGATGATACAGCAGAGTCGAGAAACGTTTCCTGGAAGGACATGCAGGCGATTCCGGGGGACTAAGAGTTGGCGAAATCAGCAGGAGCGCTCAGAAGCCCCGGACAGTTAGGGCGTCCTTGACGGCCTCGAAGACGATGAACATGACGGCGTTGACCGGCAACGCCCTTAGCACGGTGGGGCCGACCCCAGCGAAGAAGGCGCGCACGCCCCCATCCTTGTAGGTCTCGGCGGCAGTGCGGCAGAAGAGGGAGCGAGTCCAGAGGGGGCTGTGGGCGCCGCTCTGCGACTGGGCGAGGCGAGCCTTTTGATCGTCGAAGCGGGTGGTGGCCTGGACCTTTGTCTTGATGACGTCGGCCCAAAAGGTCGAGAGCCAGGCGAGCACGCCGGCGATGCCGCCAGAGACGGCCAGCTCGACGTTGGAGAGCGGCCTTAACCGGCCGTCGCTGAGGGGTCCGTCGGTGCCGCGGCTGCCGAGGTAGCGGTTCATGAGCTCGTAGCTCCAAAAGTAGGGTCCGTAGCCCAGGTCACGCACGGCGGTGCAGCCCCAGCCTCGGAAGAGGCCACGAAAGACGCCCTCGGTCCTGACGATGTTGACCAGGGTGCGGTAAGTCGAGGGTCGCGCCGACGAAGCGGCAGAGGAACGCGTGGACAGGTCCATCTGCTCACGAATCTTGATGAGATCGATGGGCGCGGTGATGAGCGAGGATCCGAGTCCGGACACCATGCCGGCGACCATGATCTGCGTCAGGCTGGGCTCGAACGATGCGCCGCCGAGCAGGCCCGGGCCCGATGACTGCGGTGCGAAGAGGCCGTGCTGCTGCTGGAAGCGGAGGGCGAGTCCGTAGAGGCCGAATATGGAGGCGTTCATGACGGCGACGCCGAGCATGGGCGAGGTGACGCCCTTGTAGAGGCCGAGGAGCTTCTCCTCCTTGACAATGACGCGGAAGGCATGGGTGGCGGATCGGTAGATGGGTATGGTGCCGTCCGGTCTGCGCAGAGGTGCCGTGATGATGGCGGCATGGTGCGTGGAGCGCGACGAGGATGCTGCCGCGGCTGCGGCGGACGACGACGTCGTCGGTTGTGGTGCGAGGAGGGGACGGGACTCGGGGCGAAGGTTGGACGGCGGCGGAGACGATGCGGGGGTGCTCGAGTGGGGAAGCGAGTGTGGTTGCGTCTGTAGGCGTGTCTTTACGGTGTCAAAGGGATGGCCGGCCAAGAGGCTGGCGACGCCGGCGGCGGTTCCGGCGACAAAGTCTACCAGCGCCGAGGGAGTGGGCGCGCCATCCGTGGCCATGAGTGCCACGCACGGGCGTCAGAGTGAGGAGGCAAGGGAGGCGTAGGACAAGGAACAAAGAAGGTTGCTGCGAGCCGGTCCAGTCCGTGCTGCTGGGTTGAATGGTGGTGGAAGATTGTGGGAGGATGCATAAAGGTCGGTCGGAGGACGGCCAGAAGAAAGAAGCCGTCGTCGGCCAAGCCAACCAAGGCGGATGCGAGCATGGCAGGCCGGGCCGTCCTCCCGCCGCACTCGTACCGAGCCCCGATGGACTGTCGCCCGATGGATGTGACCCGCCACGTTTTTTTGGCGGGCCCCCACGCCCAAGCAGGTCAAGGTCCAGGCTAGGTAGGGCCCTCCACTGCGTCCACGCTGAGGCGAGGCGTCGAGGCGCGCACGAGCCAGCCTGGACCCACCCTCGGCCCTTTGCTTGGCGGCTCAATTCCGCACTTTGGGCCTTCGCAACGACCTGCGCTCTCCTCACCAGCTTCCTTGCTGGCATCGCATTCGCTCCCCTCTCGCTCCCTTATATACACGAGTGCCTCCCACCGCTTCAGCCACAGCCATCATGACAGCGACCGCCACCGCAAACGCACACGACGACGACTACCTCCCCACTTCAGAGCAGCAGAGCCACGCCGATTCCCTCTCCCTCCTCGACCAGCACGCCAACCGCGTCGATTTTGGCCAGCTCCGTCGACAGGCGCAAGCCGACGGCCAAGCCTTTGTCCTCGTCTTCACGCGTCACTTCCACTGTGGAATGTGCATGCAGTACATCCGCGCCCTCGCCGGCTCCACCATCCTTCGGGACCTCGGCCGCGTAAAGGTAGCCATCGTCGGTCCCGGCCAGTGGCAGGGCGTCAAGCGCTACATCGAACAGTGCGGCAGCCCGCCCTTTGACTTCTACGCCGACCCAGAGGTGAAGCTGTACAAGGCCCTCGGCGTCACCACCAGGAACCTCGACCTCGGCGACCCAAACAAGGGCGAGGTCCCCTCCCACCACACTTTCGGCACTCTGGGCACCACCCTCAAGAGCGTCGCAGAGACCTTTACCTCGGGCTCTCTCGCGATAAAGGGCGGCGACATCAAGCAGCTCGGTGGAGAGATCGTCTGGAGCAACGGGGGAGAACCCGTCTTTGCCCACAGGATGAAGCACACCCGCGACCACTCGGAGGTATCGCAAGTCGAAAGGGCGGTTCAGAGCGGTGGCAGCACCGCCGCAGCTAACCCTGCTGCCCCTACGGCCGCCGCTGCCGCTGCCGCTGCCACGGTCACAGCGGCTACTACCGCCTCTGGCACCGGGTCCGGGCCCGGCCAACAAACGTGCCAAGCCTCTGCGCCTCCAACCAACGCTTCTAGCCCCTACGGCGTCGCGGGATCCAACCTGCTTCCGGGCAAGATTGTCGCCATCACTGGTGCATCCCGGGGTATCGGTAGGGCGTGCGCGCTCGCCTGCGCCGCCCACGGCGCAAAGGGGATGGTGATCCATTACCTCGGCGATGCTGCGACGACATCCGAGGCGCAGTCGCTCCAGGTCGAGCTCGAAAAGCTGGGCTGCCAGTCTCGCCTCGTGGCCGGCGACATCTCGCAGCCCGAAGTCGGCCAGGAGATTGCCCGCGTCGCGCAGCAAGATTTCGGCAGGCTCGACGTCTTTGTCTCCAACGCCGGCATCTGCCCGTTCATGGGCTTTCTCGAGATGGAGCATGATACCTGGAAGCGGGTGCAGGACGTCAACCTCAACGGCGCCTTTTACGCCGTCCAGGCGGCGGCGAGGGTCATGGAGGAGCAGGTGCCGCAAGGCGGGAGCATCGTCGCCGTCAGCTCCATCTCGGCGCTCGTGGGCGGCGGCATGCAGAGGTGAGTCGCAAGGCGGGCCATCGAGTCCACCGTGCTTGTCGAGGTGCGCCCACACTGACCCGATGCCTATGTCAATCCGTCCCGCTCCGCAGCCACTATACCCCGACCAAGGCCGGCATCAAGTCGATGATGGAGAGCGCGAGCATCAGCCTCGGGCCCAAGAACATCCGATGCAACTGTGTGCTGCCAGGTGAGCAGCTCCCGATTCCCTGCAGACTTGCACCCACGGAGCACACCACGCTGATCGCGAAGCCTGCTGCACCGCGTTCCAGGCACCATCGAGACGGCCATCAACGAGGACGACCTTTCCGACGTGGCCAAGCGCGACTACATGATCTCGCGGTCGCCCTTGCGCCGCCTCGGCAAGCCAGAGTGAGTATCCCGTGCCGCGGCTCATCCACGCCGAGTAGAGGATGCATCCATACTGACGATGCAGCATCCACCATCTAACATCCCCACGTCGACCGGCCGACGATGACCACGTCTCAGCGACATTGCTGGCCCCGTCGTCTTCCTTGCTTCGGACCTGTCCAAGTTCATGACTGGCTCCTCTGTCCTCGCCGACGGAGGATGCTTTGTCAACCTGCAGTAGCCCGGCGGTCGACAGCCTTGGCAAGGTGTCTGACATTGAAGGGCTGATCCGGCCCATGTTGCGGGTATCTACACGTCGGCGTCTACCAATCCGACCACTCGGGTTCGACGTGCTGCCACCCGTAATGGTTGATGAGCTGCGGCGTTGTCCCACTTCCTTGGCGCTTCGTGGTCCAGTACTCTACCCTCTCCGCCAGGCTGGCGGCCTGGCCCTGAGAGCGAGGTCCGAGTGGGGACTCGGAAAAGTGTCGCAGCTCACCGAGCCTCTTCTGACCCGATTCGATACGATCCACGTGCGACGCCCCAGACGGCTGGCTGGAAGAGGCGGAGAGCTGTGGCTCATCGCCAAAGTACTTGACTTCGATCCCGTCCAGTCGGCGTGAGGACGTAGGTCGGACAAGCGGCTTCCAGTCCCGCAGAGGCTTCGATGGCGATGACCGGGCAAATTCGGACCAGTAGGCCATGACGTCGAGAGACAGACGGCGTTCCGCATCCGTCATCCCCTTCGTCTTCTCCTCACCCTCAGCGGTAGCGGCGGCGTCGGAACGTGGCGTATCCGGGTCGACGCCGTACTCGTCGGCCGTTCCGACCCACGTGTGCGGCTCGACGCCCGTAAAGCCGAAGACGAAGCCGATCTCGACGGTATGGAAGGATCCCATCTCGCTCGCCATTTCTGGGATGTTGGAGATCGTCTCGAGCCACTGGAACGAAGGTCGGTAGGCCATCGCATAGACGTAGATCGGCGGCGAGGACGTCTTCGTGCCCGGCTCGGCCGCATGCTGGGCCTGCTTGTCGATGTAGGACAGGATCGGGCCATGGAAGAGGGCGTCGCCTGTGTACGTGGCGCAGGCGACGTAAGCGCGACGATTGAGCTCGTGTCGCTCCTTTTTCGAGAGCGCGGTGGACGCGGCGCCGCTTGCGATGATGTCGGGGACCGAGTAGAGGGCGCCGATCTCCTGCTGGAGCAGGCTGGAAAACGTGGACATGTGCGTTGCCAGCGACGAGGGTGTCGCTACGAGCATGTTGAACATCGACCCTTCATCGGCCGTGTAGCCGATGATGATGCCGTGGCGACCGTTGCGAAGGTCCTCGCCGCTGGGGAGGACAGACGAGGCCCGTGTCAGCAGATCCCGAGCCACCATGGCGCCGTCCCATACGGGGCCCCACATGTCGCCTGTAGCGAAGCGGTGTCGCTGCGGATCAAAGTCCTCGCGCTTCTCGGGCACGCTTTGCTGCGGCTCGGGCCGGGGCGTGTACTCGCTGCGCGGCCTCCTTCCCGGAAGCGACTGCAGCGCCGACAAGATTGCATCCGCCGGGACCTGCGTGCGGAGGTATTCGAGCCGCTCCCTGTCGCCCGACACCGAGTCAGGGATGAGCTTGGAGGCGATGTGGTCGTAGTTGGCCTGTGCCGCCTGTGCAGTGGCGGGGGGCACCGTCGCAGCCACGCCGCTCTGAAGGATGGCCTTCTGAAAGAGGTTGCGCGGCACGGCGGGCGAGAGGAGCAGATAGTGTATGGCGATCGAGCCTGCAGATTCTCCAAAGATGGTGACATTGTCGCTATCGCCGCCAAAGTGTCGGATGGAATGCTGGACCCAGAGCAGGCCGGCGACGAGATCCCAGAGTCCCCAGTTGCCGGCGGTCCTCTCGACAGTCGCCTTGGCCGCTGCGTCGATGTCGGTCCAGGGGTTGGAAGAGGATAGCGCCGATCGGGATACGAGCGGGTGGTTACCCAAGGAGTCGTCTGCCATGGCCTTGCAGCCGAGGAAGCCGAGCGGTCCGACGCGGTAGGGCAAGGAGACGACGACGCAGCCCGATTCGAGTGCGAGCCTTGCTGGGTCGTACATGGGCCTCGAAGTGTTGCCGACGACGAAGGCCCCGCCGTAGACCCAGACCATGACCGGTCGTTCGGAACCCTTCCCGTCGTCGGGGACCCACACGTTGAGGTAGAAGCAGTCCTCGTCGCGCTTGATGGCGTGCTTGGCTCCGCGACGGCCAAGCATCATGCCTTCCATTGCGGGGAAGCTCTGCACGGGGTCGGCGGGGAACTGGCTCTTACGTACGCCTGTCCATTGTGGCAGTGGGCCCTGCGGTACGCGCCATCGTCGCGTTCCGGTGGGAGGCTGGGCAAAGGGGATGCCGTGGTAGGCTAGCACGCTGCCGCCTCGGCGACCGGGCAAGAGGGGACCGAGGTCGAGGCGGCGCGGCCTGACGATGCCCTGGTCCGGCAGCTCGACGTTGACATGACTTGCCATGTCGATCGATGTGCACAGGGGATCGAGTACGGTGCGGAGATGGTGGTGGTGGACGAGAGAAGGCGGACCACAGCGACGAGGCAAGGCTGGCCAGGCCATGTTTGGCAGAATCAAGCTAATGAAGACCAACACCTGCCTTCGGCAACCTTGGAAAGCCGGAGTGGCCGGTGGGGCTGCGTGGCAGGTCAGGTCAGGTCAGGTCAGGCCTGGCCTGCCTGGCCACAGTGGCCCGCGAGGCCAGGCCAGGAGAGAGTGTGTCGCGCACGGTGCACGCGGCCAACGCGAGCAGGCAATTGACTCGCCCGAGAAGGCTGCCAAGAAAGTGTCACTTTCCACCGCAACCGCGAAAGAGGGGCCGGCCGCGGGCCGCCAGCCGCTGGGCAACACGCACGCACCCTCCGACGCCCAGCCAACACCCAACACCACAATCCTTGCTCGCTCGTGCCACCTCGAATCCTAGACGCACTCTATCCTGACATCCTCTCACTACAGCATCGGCATCGTCGCACTCGCCCCCATTCACTTGACGTGGACAAGGACCGGTACGAACCTGGGCGCCGAGCTGCCCATCATCCGCCAGCAGCTTGCACATCGGCCTGGCTACCTCGACCAGCCAGCACGATGCCGAGCAACGAGTTCGACGACGTACTCACCAACCAGCCCGTCGTCATCGACAATGTCAGTGCTCGCCGTCCCTTCTCTCTCCTCTCCTTCAAAGCTTGATGGCCGGCCCTTGCTGACCCATGGCTCGCCTCTTTGACCTTTCCTCTCACCCATCTCCAGGGCTCGGGGACGATAAAGGCCGGCTTTGCGGGGCAGGACACGCCCAAGTCCTTCTTCCCCAGCTTCGTCGGCCGGCCAAAGCACCAGCGCGTCATGGCTGGAGCTATCGAAGGCGACATCTTCATCGGCAGGAAGGCACAGGAGCTGCGCGGCCTGCTCAAGATCCGTTACCCAATGGAGCACGGCATCGTGACAAACTGGGAAGACATGGAGAGGATTTGGAACCACGTCTACAGCGACGAGCTGCAGACCTTGAGCGAAGAGGTGAGCCAGGAGATGAGCAGAGACGGGACCTCTTCCGCCATGCTAAAGTGAATCGCCGGACGACTCGCCGGACTGACGCACATTTGCCCGGGTTCACGCACCGCTCAGCACCCCGTGCTGCTCACAGAGGCTCCATTGAACCCAAGGGAGAACAGGGACATCGCAGCGCAAATCTTCTTTGAGACGTTCAATGTGCCAGCTCTCTTCACGAGCATCCAGGCCGTACTCAGTCTGTGAGTGGGACCGAGCCAACCCCGGCCAGCCATGGGGAACACTCCCACCTTCGCTATGATGGGCGACGACTCTGACTCATGCTTGCGCCCGCTTCCCTATCGCAGCTACTCGTCGGGTCGGACGACGGGCATCGTACTGGACTCAGGAGATGGTGTCACGCATGCTGTGCCAGTGTACGAGGGCTTCTCGATGCCCAACGCCATCCAGAGAATAGACGTGGCGGGCCGCGACGTGACCGAGGCGCTGCAGACGCAACTACGAAAGTCGGGCTATCTCCTCCAGACGTCGGGCGAAAAGGAGATCGTGCGCATGATCAAGGAAAAGTGCTGCTACGTCGCCGCTCACCCGGCGAGGGAGGAAAAGGACCTCAAGGAGTACGACGAGTTCAAGCTGCCGGACGGCAATGTCGTCAAGGTGAGTTGCAGCGTCCTCATCGTCATCCGTGCCGCGAAACGAGCTGGCGCTGACGCTTCGCCACCCTCTTGCCAACGCCCACTTGCAGCTCGGCGCGGAACGCTTCCGGGCGCCCGAGATCCTCTTCAATCCCGAGTTGGTGGGCTACGAGTACCCAGGAGTGCACCAGGTAATCACGGACGCCATCAACCGGGTCGATCTGGACCTCCGCCGCGACCTGTACGCCAACGTGGTACTGAGCGGCGGCACGACGCTGACGAAGGGCTTCGGCGACCGCTTGCTGGTCGAGGTCAAGAAGCTCTCGGTGGGCCAGATGAAGGTCAAGATCTTTGCGCCGCCCGAGCGCAAGTACTCGACCTGGATTGGCGGGTCGATTCTCGCCAGCCTGAGCACGTTCAAGAAGATGTGGGTCTCGGCCGAGGAGTACAACGAAGACCCGGACTGCATCCACAAAAAGGTGAGGAATCGCGCGTGCGTGGAGGGTGGCAGCGTGGCGTCGGAGCGTCCTGCATGAGGAACTGACACGGCGCGATGATCTTGCGCCCTTCGCCGCCGCTCAGACCTTCTGATACCTGCCTGCCACGTCCGCTTCTGGCAAGACCTCAACACCCTCCACCGCAAGATCTGCTTCGGGCACCGACCCATGTACACTACCAACTCCGCCCGCGCTTGCCATCACAGACAGCATATCATCGACGGCGTCGCCGTCTCTGCACCAGAGTCGTTGCCCGGTCAGCTCGACTCGTTGACTGCACCTTCGGCCTCGTCGTCCTCGCCCTTGGACTTGTCCTTGACGGCCTTGGACGTGGCCGGCTTGGACTTTGAAGGCCTGGCTCGCTTCTTGCCCGCCAGGCTGGTTGCGCCGGACGAAGAGGTGCCGGCAGGAACGGCAGGACTGGAAGTGCCAGGGAACTTTTGGGCGGCTGCTGCAAGGATATCCTTGACTGTTTATCGGGGACATGGACAGAGGCAGGCAGGAGGCAGCACTCAGTTGGCTGTTACACTCTGTCTCGTGCTCTTCAAGGAGCTGGCCAACGGCAAGACTGACCACGTTTGGCGACGCTCGACGGATTTCGTCCTAGCTGCTTTGACAAGTAGGTTTTGTCCACGCACGATTGCAGGCTGAAGCGAGGGGTGCGATGAGAGGATGGCTCGTCAATCGAGTGCATCGGGGACGATAATATACCTACGCAGTGCAGGCACAGGCATGCTCACTGGTCGTAGATGAACTGGTTCTCATCCACCGTCCAGTCGCGAGCCACTCTGCCAAAGATCATCCTGGTGCCGACTCCCTGTGGACGGCATGCAGAGAGATCAGTCCGCATCCTGCCCGTCAGTACCTGCTCGAGCAGAGAGCCAAGCACCACAGGCGCCGTGACGAGGCGCGGCGTGCAGCCAGACGATGACACTCACACTTGCTTCGGCATCGTCGACCCCGTCCACCTTGGCCTTTTTCTTGGGATGAGTGGCGCCTGGCATTGTTGCGTCGTCCTGACTAGGTGCGATGGTGGTGGTGCCTCGTTGTGTCGGATCAAGAGAGCGGTGGAGTCGAGAAGAGCAGCCTTGCGGGAATGGTGCGCGGCTCGGAGCAGCCGCACGCCCGCACGCCGCCCGTCGCAGCGTGGGCAAATGAAGGCGCACCGCCCGCGTTCCGCCAGAATCGACCTGAACGAGACGGCGGTTCGGGCCGCAGCCGAGAGCTTTCCGCACCGCGCGCCAGAGACAAGGCGGATAGACGGATTTCGACACAGGTGAAAAGGCCTTCCGCTCAGCCTCTTGGTGTCACTCGGCGTCGTTGGACGAGACTGGTGGTCCGCTCCGTCGACGGGCGAAGTGCGGACGGAGGCTGGTCGTCCCTATCGTGCGAAAGAAGTCGGACAGAATCCAGGGTCCTCGCCAGGGCCAGCCCCGTTCCTGATCTGCGGCGAGGGTTTCGCTTGCTTCCCTGCAAGCTGCTGATGATTCGCTGGCCAATCGGCGGTCGGTGTTGGTCTCACCGAGGATCTGCCAAGTGGCCTTCTTGCCTGGCGCGCGTGTGCAACACGCACGCAGAACGTCGTTTTTCATGTTGTCAGCTTTTCCGGCCTCTGTCCGTCTTTCGCTCCCAGCAACAGCCGATCGAGAGAGCGCGGGTGGGCGCAGCTCCGCATACGGGCCGGGCTCGGACGGCCTAGCCTCTCTGCCTGGCCAGTCCGCGCCGCCTCCCACCGCCGTCGGCCGTCGCCGTTGCCGGCCCAGACGCTACGTTTGCGTTGCCTCCGCTGCATCCACGAGGGAGGGCCCCCCTTTTGAAAGTACGTACGTGTCCTCGGCCGTCGTTGGAGGGGCCGCTGCACCTTGATCGGCGGACAACGGCCCGTATGTACTTACGACTCCATGATCGACTCTATCAATCTCTGTTTCCATGGCGACCGAGAGCTCGTCTTAATTGATCTGCTCTCGGACTTTGCGTCGGAGACCTGCCAGTCTTGAGTAGAGGTTGCCGCGGGGGTGGCTGCTGTTGCGCAGGAACCTGCCTGTACTCGTTTCGCACGCCGGTTTTGGGGTCCACCGCCACAGGGATGGCAAACCTACGTGCGGCGTTCTACCGTCATGCAGCCGGAAGGCTTTGGCTCGCTGTGCTTGGCCTGCTCGCTCGCTCAATCGCTCGTTCGTTCGCTCTTTGTGCGCGGCCCCGGGGGTTAGGCTAGGCAGGGTCGAGGCTGCGCACGGTGAAACGGAGCCAGGGGGCGGGGGACCTTCGGAAAATCATATAAACCTCTTTGTCGGCCGTCGTCGCGCCGTCCCTTTCATCACCAACCTCATTCCCTCCGTCCACCCCTCCCCTCTCCGTCTCTTTCTTCGTCGTTGTCGGCTCCCTTCTTCTCCTTCATCGCACCTACCACAGCAAAGCAGGACTTTGTCTTTCTCCCCTAGCTCCGCCGCACACGTACACGACCAGCACAGCCAACCCCTTCCTCTTTCGGCCTGCCCCGCTCCTCTTTCCACCGCCCCTGTCCTCTCTCTCTCCC